ATGAAGATGTTGGCAAAGCCATCTGCATACTTTGCAAGAAGATTTTGTCTAGAGGAAGTAAAGACGCACACAACATGTCAACAACAAATTTACAAAACCATCTGAAAAAAGTACATTACAATATACATAGCATGATTCTTTCTCAGAAGAAAATTATTAACTACGAATCTTTACCAAATCCAAATGAAAAGTCCATAAAACAATTTTGCACTACTCGAACAATATGCTCAGATAGAACAAGCTCTGCTGAATCAGTGCAAATCATTACCAGCACTGCCACATATAAAACGCAGGAAGCTCGCGTGTGTCTAATAACACAATTGCCTTTTTTCAAAAAGCATCGACACAGGTAACTCAGCTAACTGTAGCTGAATTCATTTACTATTCAGTATTCATGATTTTGTGACTGGATGGGGGCATGTCTTGTCGAAAAATTATCTTTTGTATAGAAAAATGTTAACTTAACTTATCTAAGCTTAAAATATTATAATAAATGTACTGGTGAGGGGGGAAAGATACATACCTCTATCCGCCACTTAGATCCGTCGCTGGCCATTATTAGTTACAAGTTGCTAAGTAATTTTTTTAATTCGTTGAATTTGTTTCAGGTCTCACTGCGGGAGATTTCGCAAAGAAAAGAATTGTGGCAACTTGATAATCCTAAGGCTCAAGCTATTACCAAGCTTATTGGAGAAATGATATGTTTAGATATGCAGCCATACTGTATTGTTGAAGATAAAGGTTTTACCCAACTTTTAAAGAATTTAGCTCCAAACTATACAATACCTAGTCGAAAGTATTTCTCCACAAAAGTCATTCCACTGATGTATGAAACCATAAAAGCCAAAGTAAAATATGAGCTTGATCAAGCAGATTTCCTAAGTTTAACTAGTGATGGTTGGACCTGCCAGCACACAATTCAATCGTATTACAGTTTAACAGCTAGATTTGTAACGCATGAGTTTACAGTTAAACATGTCATCTTACAAGTTACACACTTCCCTGAGTCGCACACAGGGCAAAATATAAGTAAATTTATAAATGAAGCGCTACAATCATGGGAAATTCCCCATGAAAAAATTCATGCAGTTTTAACTGATAATGCAGCCAATGCAATGGCTGCCATTAAAGAGTCAAATTTAGGCGATAAACATCTTCCATGTCTGATACATACTTTACAACTTTGTATTCAGAAAAAGATTTTTAGAGAACAAAGAACAGCAAGTGATACAATAGCTGTTTTTCGAGCATTAGCAGGACATTTCCATCACTCATCTAGTGCTGTGGCTAAACTAAAAAAAATTCAAAGTCAACTAAAATTGCCAGAGCATAACATAATTCAAGATGTTTCCACAAGATGGAATTCGACATACTATATGCTTGAAAGGTTCATTGAGCAGAAAAAAGCTATTACATTGTATTACATTACCAGAAATCAAACAAATGCAAAAAATCCTACGGAAAATCAATGGCAACTTGCTGAAATGCTTGTATGCATATTAAAACACTTCGAAAGTACTACAAAAGACATGAGTAAAGAAACGGCATGTATATCAGAGATTATACCATTTATCTATGCAATGGAAAAGTTTCTAGACTACGCTTGTGACACGGCAACTGAAATAAAAACTGTTGTTGATGAACTTAAGAAAGATTTTAACTGTCGTTTTCAAAAATACAAGGATAATGTTGATTTAAAAATCGCGATGATGCTTGATCCTCGTTTCAAGTTAAAGTTTGTTGAAGACAAGAATCATAATATGTTTAAAGAAATACTCCATTTAGAGTTCTACCGTTGTTGTTCCAAATCTCATTTAGAACAAGTAAAAGAAATTGAATTTGGTGTAGCAAGAGGTAGTGGATCAGACTCAGAAGAATCATTAAGTTCATTTTCAGAATCTAAAATTCATGAGTCCGACTCAGATTTTGAACTGTCAAAGAAAAATGGTAAGAAAACAGAATCTATTTATGATTTTTATATTGTTTATACATTAAATATTAAATATTTTTTTTATCTCTATTCTTATTCTCCATTTTTTTTATTTCAAAAGACGGATAACAGCATTCTTTTATTTTGTTTAGTTGATTAAATTGTAATATTTTAAAAATTTAAACCTAAAATTATCACCTATATTTTATGTATCAACACCGATGAAGTCAACTTCTACTTGAGCCTTCCAATACTGCCAAAGAATGAATGCCCTTATAAGTGGTGGAGTGCATACCGTTACACTTCCTCTGATAAAGATACTTACAAGTTGAATTTGTCAAAGTTTTGAAAGAAAGTTTTGTGCGCGCCTCCTTTATCTGTAAAAAGTGAACGCTTATTTAGCACATCTGGAAACATATTTGAAGCAAAAAGAAACAGACTATTACCCGAACATGGAGAACAGATTGCATTTTTAAATTGTAATATGCCTGCTTTCATTGAATAAATTTTTATTAACTAAATAATAGACTGTAGCTTCTTAGTTCAACTGATTCAACTTTTTAACAAAATTTAAAACAAATACCAAATTTTGTGTCAAATTAAAATAATGACTACTTTTATATTTTTACATTTTACGTGTTTACATTTTTATAAATTTTTTCAAAGAATAGACCATAATTTACCTTAAGTATCAGTAAATGTCTAAGATTGAAGAAAGAATTTAAGATGTAATCTTTCCTATACCTGCTAGATATATAGAGTTAAGACTCTAAATTTCACTCTCTAAATTTTTGTACAAAATTTGTTTAAATTTTTTATAATATTGGTTTTGTTTTATAATTTTCCTAAAATGGGCATGTAGTCCAAAACATTGAAACTTAAAACATTGATATATAATTTTGAAAGCAACTTGATTATTCAAACCACCGTGGTGAAGTAAATTGAGCTTTAAATTACGTATAACTTAAGCCGAAGCTTCGGCTTCGGCCGAAGCTTCGGCTTCGGCAAAGTGGCTTCGGCCGAAGCTTCGGCTTCGGCAAAATTGCAGCTTCGGTACATCCCTACTAAAAATAATTAAAAGTTAAACTATTTAATATTAGCATAATACCGATTTCTAATCTTTTGCATTTATATCCGTTAAAAACAATTTTTATATAATTTTGAATCTTTATTTCTTAATGCGTCAGCGTAGTCGAGTGGTTAGCGCGCTGGGCTTCAGAACATATATGCCGTGGTTCGAGTTCTACCGTTGGCGACTACTATTTTAATTTTTTTTTTAGATTTTTTTAAATACAAATTCAAATACTTATAAAGTTTTATAGATATTGTATATAGACAACATATGTAAAGATATTAATCAAAAGTTTGATCCTCGCATTTTGACACAGAACCAACTTTGCTAACGAGAGAAAAAAAATCGTTCAATAATTTCAAAATTTTGTTTTTTCGTGAAGTCTTTTAACACTTAGTTTCCAACTTTCTTGACATATTCCAAGTCTTTTTGAGAAAAAACTTTGTTGATCAAATATACAAAAACGGAAATTCAGCTTTTTTGTATATGATAAATATCGCTGTGGTACAAAGTGCCAACCTAGGTTTTTTAAACAAAATGCCAATCGAGTTTTACTTCCACGCGGTTTTAATCACCACGAGGCTTAGTTAAATGCTTAGTTAAATACTTAATAAAAGATAAAATTTAAGGCTTAAAAAAAGAATTTTTTACAAATTTTTTCTTACATCTCTTTAATCCTTGACTTTTGGATTTAGATTTATTACATTGATAGTAACATTATCATATTATTATTTTTAGATTATTACATTGTTTGATATATTTTTTTTAATTTAGATAAAAGCGACAAAAAAAGCGTCTCCCCCCTATCCTTTAGGATTTTAGAGCCACCATTAAATTTTGACATAAGTTGCAAGAAGTGTCTCGCAAATGCCATTTATGTTAAAGTTAGTGTTTACGCAATCAATAAGTTTAATCTTCGTATCTTTATTTAGGACATTAAAAGTTATCATTTAGATGTTTTCATTTGATTGAGATTTTCTTGCGTTATAAACCGGATAATAGTTCTTATGAACTGTAAGCACGCAGATAAAGTGTGCATCAATATCCTAAAGACCCGTTTACGGGTCATGACAGCTAGTAATAATAATAATACCAATAATAAAAATAATAATAATAATAATAATAATAGCAATAATAATAATAATAATAATAATAGTAATAATAATAATATATATATATTTTTAAGAGCATATTTGAGCATTTAGAAGAGTTAAAAATAGTTAAAAAACGTTATGCCAACCACAAACAACTTTTTAAACATAAAAAATTGGCAAAAGAGACTATGCTGTCAAAATATATTAGGCAACTAAAAGCAGAAAATATCAATTTAAAATTAAATTTGTCTATTCTAATAACTGCACTTGCCTATAATAATATTTCCAAAAAACGTGTGCTATGTTTGCAAGAAAAATGAGAAATTATCCATACGGATCAAGAAAATTTACTAAACAAAAAGTCTGAATTAATTTCTAAATGCAGGCACATGAAATAAGTACTTTTTCAAATATTATAAAAATGTTCTTGAGTGACCCCTAGGATTTTTTTTTATTCAAATATTTTTTTAACTTAGTTTTAATTTATTACATAAAACACATTTAGGGGGTGGCAGCAGGCAATTTCAAAAAAGTTGTTTTTAGACGCACTCTAATATATATATATATATATATATATATATATATATATATATATATATATATATATATATATATATATATATATATATATATATATATATATGTATATATATATATATATATATATATATATATATATACATATATATATATATATATATATATATATATATATATATATATATATATATATATATATATATACATATATATATATATATATATATATATATATATATATATATATATATATATATATATATATATATATATATATTATAGCAACAATATAAAAATATATTAAAGTAATTTGTAGTTGCAGTTACAGTTACTATAAAGTTTAAATTTTCATAAATTTGGAAACCTTTGAATTTGTCAAAGTACGAGCTTTTATACTTCTTTCCATCTGTATCATTCCAGAAAAAGGTTGGCATAGAAGGAAATGGTTTTGTACAAACTAGTTCCCCTGCAGCATCTTCAACTGATAATCCTAAATTATAATGTAAGTTTTTTAAATTTAAGGCAAAGTTTTAATTAAAAAAAGGTTAAAAATATAAATATCAAAAAAAAAGATATATAATATGGAAATTGTATATAAATCAATATTTTATTATAAAACTAAAAAATATATAAATATAATATAAATATATAAATTTTACAGATCACTTTAGCAAGAAATATTCAAAAAATTTTTAAATTTTTTAAGTAAGTTTCTGCATTGCTATAAGAATATTATATTCTTACAGCAATGTAGAAAGTAACTTGACTGAGTTTTTAATTTAATATAAAAATTTGTTTTAACGTTTAAAAATTTGTTTTCAGCAAAAGTGAAATAAGTAAAAAAAATTTGTATAAGCAAATTAAAAAGTTTATAGGTAAAATTAAAGAAATAAAAGAAAAAAATCTAAATAAATCCTAAGAAAGGTCAAATGAAAGACAAGACAATAAAAATATATAGCTCAGAATCAGAATTAAAAAAAAAAATTTAGATTAAAATTTAATAAAAAAGTAAAATTAGTAAATGAGATAAATTTAAGAAGATAAACAAAAGAGATGAAACTAATGCAAGAGATAAAATTAATGAAGCGCATAAAATCAATAAAGTTAATATGAAAGATGTAAATTAACATAAGATAAGCTTAACAAAAGAGATAAAATCAATAGAAGTAATACTTTGTTAACAACTGCAAATTTAAATAAACAAAATAAAATTCTAAAAGAATACCATTTTCATCCCAACTATAAATAGCCATTGCAAGATTTTTGCACTGTATTTCTCCTCTATGAACAGGTATTACAGGATTCTGCCCAGCAAAACAAGATATGATATCTGTACCTCCTATAAAAAAATTTTTTGAAAATTTATACACTTTATACACTAAAAATAAAATTTATTGGGAGCTTATAATTCATTGCAAAGTAAGAAAAAATGAAAATAAAATCAAAAATATATAATTATTGAATTTTATATTTCTAAAACCAGCTTTTAGTGGTCCTGAGACCAAGAAAAATAAGACAAAGAATAATCAGGAGGGAACAATCATTTTAAAAATATTATAAAATTTAAAAAAACCAATGTTGTAACTGTTTTATCCATAAGTTACTTCTCCGTAACCGAACTATACAAACTTAGGTCTTAAAGAAGTAAATGAAGATAACTCTACATGGAATCACTTTAAAAATCATTAAAACAAAATTTTAATAAAATATTTTGATTTTTTATTTTAACATAAACAAAATGATGTTTTTCAATTTCTTTGAACTTTTTGGCACTTCTATGATATACAGCAGCCACTTCAGCTTTGTAAAAAAAAAAATGATAGCTCAGATACTATTATTTATAATAATAATATTTGAGCTGTGTGAACAATATATGACTTCAGCTTTAGTTTTTAAAGTATTTTGACTTCAACTGTGCCAAAAAAGAACTAACAACTCTTACTACTAAATTCTGATTGTTTTGAATTAATCTACACATCATCAGTTTAAATGATTCCATGATGATTGTTTTGAGCGTGATCATTTAAAATGAGCAAAGCATCCTTATTTAAAATAAGTATAAATGTTTAAATTTTGCTCTATATTTGAAAGTCATACAGCAATTATCTCAAACACCAAAAAATGCAAATTCGACCCCTGCAAAGAAAGCATTTTCAGGTAAGGTGTAGGCAACAAATGGTACAAACAATACTTACAAACAATACTAACAAATACTTTATAAAATACTTTAAAATACTTTATATAATGCTTTTCTAGCAGTTAATAAAATCAATTGTTACTAATGCGCACTTTAATTGTTACTAATACACATTTTAACTATTACTGATGCACATTTTCATTGTTACTAATGCACAATTTAATTGTTACTAATGCACAATTTAATTGATACTAATGCACAATTAAATTGTTACTAAGGCACACTTTAATTGTTACTAATGCACACTTTAATTGTTACTAATGCACACTTAAATTGTCACTAATGCACACTTTAATTGTTGCTAATACACAATTTAATTGTTACTAATGCACACTTTAATTGTTACTAATGCACACTTTGATTGTTACTAATGCACAATTTATCTTTTTAATTTTTTCAACATCTTGACTTCCAACAAGGCTGCAAGCAACCACTATTAGAGTTGGAAGTTACTGGAAGAGAAAAGATGAAGATTATAGAGCAAGATAATGATTGACATATGACTTAAAATATTGCAAATTATATGAATCAGGAAAACAAGATGAAGGAAGTGAATTCCAAAAAACTGGTGTTCGAAGAAAAAAACAGGACGAATAAGAACTTTTAGAGCACTTAGGAACAGTTACAGTAAAAGGATGAGACTTGATAGAATGACAAGTAACACAAGAAAGAATTTTAGTATATGGCACAAGAGACGCTAGCTCTTTAGAGCAGTGCTCATTTAAGTATTTATAGAAAAGAGAAAGAGAAGCAACATTACGACGATGTGATAATGGTTGGAGGTTGGCTGCAAAAATTTAAATACTTTAAAGCTAAAATTTAAAAAACTCTTTAAAGCCAAAATCATCAAAGCACAAATTAATAAAAATAAATAGAATAAATTAAAAAAAAAAAAAGTTAAGTAACAAACTACAAACTATTCAAATTCTTTACAAAGTTTCTAAAAAAATTATTAATTTAAACTTTAAAAGAAAGAGTTACATAAAAATGGTAAATAACCCAACAACTACCATTCAGTGTTTTTGATTCAAATCTATTTAAGGTTTTTGAGGAAACTATCAATTATTTTTATACATTTATTAACAAACTTTAATAGAATAAACTAATAGCCAAATAATTATTTGTTTTCAAAATAAATTTTGCATTTAAAGAATGGTAAGAAATATTTTTATACCTCATCTATTGTTTTCAATAAACCTAACCTACTGGAAACAATAGATGAAGGTTACTACCAATGAGGTATAAATATAACTAGATGTGTGACTCTCAGCTTTTTTTTTTTCTCTACCGCCTTCTTCTATTGTTATTTTAAAAACTTATTTTAGGTTAAATGAGAAAACTAAAACATTTTTTTGAAACAGTAACATGTTGTAATTAAAATACCAATAAAATTAAAAATATATTAATGCAACAATTAAAAAAAAGGATTTTTTTAATTCTTTCACATTTATTTTGTGTACACGTTTTACAGTTGTCAATTAAACAGAAAACTTGTTTATAAAACTGAATGGAGATAAATGATAATGATAGCCATAATAACCTTAATTTTAGTTTATATTTAGGATATATAAACTAAAATATATTTTATTTTATACTAAAAGTATATAAACTAAAATATATCCATAGTACAAAATAAAAATAGTAATGTGATAATATCAAAAAAATTTAAAAAGGGCCTGTTTTTAAAGCCAGCAGTATTTTTGAATGGATGAAAAATACTGTCATAAGCTGTGTCTAAACCTACAAAAAAATCTATACACCACCTACAACCCACCATATCTAAAGTTTGGTGTGCCAGCATGCAATGATTTAAATAATACTGAATGCCAAAAACATGTGCAATATCTAACTTTAAAAGTCTTGTACTAACTTGAATTATAAAAAAAGATTACAAACGCTTAAAAACAGCTTAAATATAACAATAATAAAGATATTATCTTTATTATTATTAATTAGATCAACCCTAACTATTCTAATGATAATTGCATTTAACTTTTTAATTTTTAAATAAATTTGAGCTGAATAAGAATTCTAAACATACCTGTAATTGAACTAAGTAGAACATTATTTTTTATGGATTGATATACATAATCATAACTTGAATGTTTCAGAGGTGATCCTGTTGATAGTATAGTGTGAAGTGACTCCAAGTTGTGAGTTTTGACTACAAAAATAAAATAGCTAAAAATAAAAACTAAAATATGAAATCATATCTCTGATCCGTTCTGAAATAAAACTTTGTAAAAAAAAAGTTCAAACTTGGGTGCATAGACTTTTCTTCTAATGCTTCTATCCATCTGGCTCCTGTCCCAAGAATTGTTATTCTGAATGTTTGAGTAAAAGTCAAAACTTTTTTTGTACCATAGTATTATTTGAAAAGTTAAACAAAAAAAAAACATACTTAATTTCATCAACAAGATCCCATAGTACATTTGGGGTTGGCATCAAAGGAGATCCATCATAGCAAACAACAGATGAACCAAGAGCTAATGCTGAAACTAACCAGTTCCACATCATCCATCCAGTCTACAATTTTATGCAAATAAAATGTAAATAAAAATGTTTAGTGATACCTAAGTTTTGGTTTTTGGTATTGAACTAGTAAACCCAAAAATTTCCGCTCAATTTGGTTTCGATGTATTGCCTATTTTGGTTGATCACTATATAAAACTTATATTGCGTGTTTAGGTGAGCAGCCAGACACCATACTGAAATTTGGTTGGTTTCAATTAGTTCATTTTATAACTATATTTATGTAAAATGTATAAAGGAAATATATTTCAAATAATAAAGAAAAAAAGATTCTGCAATTCACTCATTTATTCTACAATTATTCAAATCTTAAATAGTTATTGACATAACTTATGTAAACTTTTTACTAACATATAAAAATCAAAAGCAAAAAATATTAAAAAAAAAATCAATATTATTTATTAAATTGTTCTTAAAAACATGCATACTTTTTGACATAACTATTTATTGCATAAAATTAAACTAATTTCTAAACTAAAATAATAACAATTAATATTAAAAATTTATTTTATATTTTACAAAAACTATTTAAATCATTATATTTATACACAAATTCATTGTACCAATGTGCTACTAATGTACTTGTACCAATGTGCTACTAATGTATCTGTACCAATGTTCTACTAATGTATCTGTACCAATGTGCTACTAATGTACATCTACTTAAGCTTATGTCTATCCCTATGTCTATCAATTGATATACATATTCATATGCTGTTATTTTAGTTTAAACAATGCCCATTGTTTAAACAGGCCAATATTATTTGACATATAATACACATTTCATATTTCAATGTGTATTATGTCATAACAATGTTGCATATCTAAGTGGAAATCTATTTCAAAAATTCACAATTAAAACCATTATTAATTAATAGTTTTTAAAAATAAATAAACAAAAAGTAAGATGTGAAATAAAACTAAAAAAACATCTTAAGTAAAAATTACCGTTGTATAATACATAATAATATCTTTTGATGACATATTGCCATGTAACATGTGTTCCTTTAAGTGTTGAATCAAAGTACCCTTAAAAAAAAACATTTTTATCATGGTATTTATTAATAATAGGTAGTTACTAAAAATATGAACTGACTTTTAACAGCAAATACTTGCTTAGCTAGAGATTAAATAAAAATATCAATAAATAAAGTTTTTAGTTTTTTATTTTAATTAGATTTGTCTTCAATCAGCCTTTTTCTTTGGATTCAACTCTAAGAGGAGTTGAATTGAAAAGACTAGTTGACCCAAAAAGTCAAATTAAAAGGTCAATGTCAATTTTTCAAACAGTTTTATTCTGGTTTGTAGTTGCTTTATGTCTTTTGCTTTCCACACATACACATTGCCTTGCAAAGTAACCCAAAAGTTATTTGACAATAGGGCAACACTTTGACAAAGCTTGCAATATGTAAACAAAATTGATGTAATGGGGTTCAAAGCAGTCAATCTCTGTTTTGGCATAATGCAATGATATTAAGTCAGGTTAAAATACACAATTGTCACCATGACAATTGTCACATGATCACCATTGATGAAAAGCATTAATCTCTTTTTGATAGAATCTTCTTTTCTTTTTGGTTTTGTTGGCTGCAAGGCCACTAAGGACACAAAATAGCCCAGAAATACCTTTGTCAAAACCACCAAGCCGAACACCTTAGAATCAAACTTGTGCTAATTTTTAAATAATAAAGACTCCCCAGAATCTGCCATTTGGTTTGTTGAGTGTGACAGTTTGTTATAAGACTCATTGTTAAGGATGACTTTTCCTGAAAACTGTGATAAAGACAATCAATGTTGGTCTTGATTCACTCTTTTTGGCTCTTTTATTAGCTAGGTATACCATGTTTTGTAAAAGTTTTGATGTCAGTGTACTGGCCAAGAGTTTTAACAATATGCAAAATAAGTGCATTCAAATGTCTGCCAGTTTGCTTTATTGAATTCTAATCACTGTGATCAAACGTGGTTTTTAGATGCTTGATGACATTGGGGGTCATGATTTTGACCACATGACCATTTCCTTGCACTCTTTTGTATCCAGAATTGTTCTCAGCACATTTGATTATATCATATATAGTGCTTCATGGAATTTGTTTAGATAAAAGTGATCTACGATGAACTTTTTATTCTGCAATTTATTATTTTAATAAAACTTGCAAATCTGTTTTCTTATCTCTTTATGCTTGGACACCATTTTGTTACTAATTTTTAATTATTACGTAAACACATGAATTTAACTTATAGAGAATTAAACAAGCTTTAAAATGAATACAAAAGTAAACAAAAAAATAGTTTAGTTTGTCAGTTCATATTTTTCTTAATTTTTCTAAAACGCATAGTTGCTTCAAACATTAGTACAAATGCATAAATTGAACAAATTATGCTTACACCAGCTGAATGTACCATACACTTAGGGGGTCCAGTAGTGCCAGATGAATACATGATGAATGCAGGATGACTAAAAGGCAGTTGCTGAAATTCCAATTTTTGATCATCAGGAATGTCTTCAATAAACTTTGAAAGAAATACACTGTAAAAAAAAAAAATATACAAAATAAATAAATACATAACTATCATACATATATAATATAAAAAAAACAGTAGTTTTTTATATAAGTATTTTATATAAGTATAAGAAAAAGAGAATAATACTCTTTCTCTAAAGATTTCTACTTATATATTATATATATACTTATATACTATGCATATATATTATATCTAGAAGATTTTCAAAGCTTTTTCAATTTCAATAACTCTTAGATGCATTAGTCCCCATTTTATTAATATCGGTATTGATATGTTAAGAGGCGGCAAGACATTTTATTATTTCAAAGCTGGTCAACAGTAGATGACCTATGCTTACAACCACACTAGTAAGCACACTTGTCTAGTTTCACATTAATCTTATTTATAAATTTTAAACCAACTACTTCATCTATTATCAAGTAATAATTTGTTTTAATATGATTATCAATTTGTTTGTAACTTTGTTGTTAAAAAATTGTGTCTTTGATTACAGTTTTTATCATTTATCTAACAAAATAACCTGTGTACTCCTATTGCTGGTAAATATATTGGTTCTGTGAGCTGAGGTATTTTATCAAATTGTTATAAGAAATGTTTGTTAATATATATATATATATATATATATATATATATATATATATATATATATATATATATATATATATATATATATATATATATATATATATATATATATAATATTGGTGAACATTAAAAAATTCTTATCTTTATTTCCAAGTAGAAGAATATATGCTCATTACTTTATTGAGTTATAGTTTTTATTATAAATTGATATATATATATATATATATATATATATATATATGTATATATATATTTTTACATAAAATAAGTATATTACACCCAATGTACCTGCCTTCTGCTGGGCCTGGTTGTAAATTAGAGATGCAACTTTTTGGTAAATTTTTTGTATCTATAATTTCCAATATAAAAAACAGATGAACTTTGGTTTGAAAGTAACTGAAAAGTCATTGGTTTTATTTAATTTTTGAAAAAGGTCACCCACCATGACCCTTTATACTTTATAAAGCCAGTGTGTAATACCCATTACACAATGGCTCCCATATATCAAAGAATTTTTTTTTTTTTTAAAGTATATCAACCTGTGTCTCAAAAGAATTGAAATTTTATAGCAATTTCAAAATTCAAAATCTTTTTTACTGAAACATTTAAAAAAAAAAATTGCAAACAAAATGTCATAAAAAACGACCTTATTTTAATATTTAGTTAAAAATTGTTGTTTTTTATATATAAAATTTAAGAAATTCATTATTGTATGAAATCTCTATGAAATTCTGGTTCTTTCGAGAGCCAAGTTGATATAATTTTGAAGAAAAAAAAAATTCACTGATATATGGGAGCCAGTGTGTGTGTAAAAATGAAAGCAATTTAGTTGCAAACATACTTTAAAAGTATCCAGGGTACCTCCTCCACCTTTTTTATTTCAATAAACTTTTACATTAAAAAAAAAAAAAAAATAGGCGGGGGGTGAAAAACCTATAAAGTATTTATACGACCCCAAAGCCCTTTGTTAACGGCAAAGGATCCCAATTTAAAAAACATCAAATATATACAAATATAAATTTGAATAAAATTAAATCTTGCAACATCGAAGAGATCGCTTGGCCGAGTGGGTAATGTTATGGGCAGTGACAGCGGAGATCCTAGTTCGATTCCCAGTAAAGTCCTGTTTTACTTTTTTTGTTTAATGAGACGCATCAAAAAAAATAATCTATACTTAAGTCAGACATTTTTTTCAGGCACCCCTCTTTAGTAAGTCCATAAAAAGTGAGTCATACAAGAAAAGTAATATTGAAAACAAAGCTTAAAACCCAGTGTCGTGTGTAGGCTACCTATACCCCATAATTAGAAGGGGTGGGGTGTTGTGGGGGAGCAGCAAATTTTATGCCTTTTTGCTACTTTATTTTAGCAAAACCTAGTGGTAAAATTTGGAAGATTTTGAGACCCTAATGACAGGTTGTTATTTTGAGGGGAGGGGGTCTCCAACCTATTAGTCATTACACTGCTAAAACCTGTTTTTTGTTGATTCAAAAAATAGGCAACCTATTTTTTACACATGCATGCACACATGCATGCACTCAAACATGAGGGGACTTATGTAGTAAAATTTTTAACTTAATGATCTAAAACTAAATTCAAATTTATCGACAGAATTTAAATTTTGTTGAAAAATATTGTAAATTACAAAAGTTATGTCATGTCGATGCAAAATGTATAGCTCATCATTTTTTTTTTTTTTTTTGTGGGAGGGGGTCATAAAATTTTACTAGATTAGTGCCCTCACGTTTGGACTGAGGAGGGGATGCAAGCATTTAAGGGCTTTTTTGTTTCCAGACTACCGCCATAACAATTTTTTGCAAGGCCTCTTCAAATGGCATATTTATGAACATACTTAAGTTTGGAGTTTGCACAATGTGTGGAAGTGATTTATCTGGAACATCAAAAAATCTTGTGGACGCCCTGCATGTGTGTGCATAGAGAGAAACTATACCTTCTACTCCCTATACAATACATCTTTTTATGTTGGCAAACTAGGATCTTTAGTCAGAATTTTAACTTTTCTATTGACTACCTGGTTAATTGTGTAAAATTAAAAAATTGAAGTACATACTTTTAAATTGAACCTCCTCCCCCCCCCCACATACGCTTTTGTATGCTTTTTGAAGACCTCCCCCTCCCCCTATGAGCGTACGTACTTTATGAACGACCCCTAAGTTCTAAAGATAAAAACAATAATTAAAATTCATTTACAAATATAAAAACCAACCATTTATTAATTTTAGATATGTCTGTTTCTGCTTCAGAATTATTATATGAACATAAAACCACTTTCTCGAGACATGGCAATCCTTAAACCACAAATAATATAATTCAAAATGTTAGTTAATGTATAATTTTGGACTAAAAAAAAACAAAAAAATACCGTCAACCACACTTTGAAGCTTTTTTAAGTGATCGTGTTTTTTACCATTATATATGACACTATCTACAGAGAAAATCACTTTAGGGGAAATCTGTTGAAATCGATCTAAGACACCCTAAAGTAAAAAAAAAACCATTAAAAAAAAAAAAGAAGAAAAGTAATAAAAATCTTAAAGATAATTTTATTGTTTACTGAAACTCCAAATTCAGGTGAAGTTGAGCTCCATATTGCACCAAGACTCGTTGTTGCTAACATTGCAGTTACTGCAAATTCACAGTTAGGAATGTAACCTAATGTAAAATTTGAACTAATTAAAACTATGGAAGCATAGAACAATAAGTGCATTAGATAATAACAGGTTTATTTTGCACTAAATATTAATAACTAATCAATAAAAAATCAATAACTAATATAATTTTAAAAAAACACACATTAAGAAAAATTACAAAAAATATAATTTTAAAAAACACACATAAAATTTTAAAAAACACACATTAAGAAAAATTACAAAAAATATAATTTTAAACTGTTACTTGCCATTACTATAACTATTGCATTTTTTAAAATTCACAACCTTTAAATGTGAATTTTTTGTAATTCAAAATATTTAAATGTGAATTTTTTGTAATTCAAAATATTTGAATGTGTATTTTTTGTAATTCAAAATATTTTAATGTGTATTTTTTGTAATTCAGAATATTTTAATGTGTATTTTTTGTAATTCAGAATATTTTAATGTGTATTTTTTGTAATTCAAAAAACTCAACTCAAATATTATTTACAAAAAGATTATGGAAAAAAAAAAGAATGTAAGACTATGGAAAAATAAAAGAATGCAGTCACTATGAGGTCAGTATTTATTTTTGAATTGTGACCATCATATTAGGGCTTGATTAAATTCAAAAACTAGTGTGAACAACAATTTCAAGTAATAATTTCACAATTGTAAAAGAAGTGATGACTAAGGATTGTAAAAAGTGAGTAAATCTTTTTTAAATGTTTGTTTGTAGTTCGCTAGAGGGTGTATAGAAGATGTATAGTAAGTTTGTTAAGACCTAAATTTTTAGGAAAATATAAACTTTTGAATAAACTACCCTCAAAAGCATGTTAAAAAGATATTTTGATATGCCTATTTTAATGTGTCTGTCATTGTATTAAAACAATTTTATTTTGTTAGAAATGTTACTGAACTCTTTCAATAACAATGATTTCATTTTTGATGAACTATTATTATAAAAGGGGGAAGTATTAATATAAAAGAGGAAACTCTAAATGTAGTAAAACTATATGGTCAAACATCACCAAAAACACCACAATTATGTTTCATTAATGTATGTTTGTTTGAGTAAGCCAACTATGCTTGTTGCTTGGGATGCTAGAAATGTTGAACACTATTGGAGATGTGCTGGAACCAGTTAATTTTGGGTATCTGACTAACAATGCTGACGCTGGTTTTGATTACCTATCAATGGGGTTTAGCAAAGCTTTTGAAATAATATATTGATATTGATAGTATAGATAATTTTGTAAACATTAAAGAATAAGGTTTTAATAAAGAATAAACATTAAAGCATTAGATTTAAGTAACTTTTATTTTGTAAATAAGCTGTTGTCTCTGGTAAAAAAATTTCATTGTTGCCTGTAATAAAAAAGAAGCTTTTGCTTTTTTTTGTAGCATTTTAGATGTTCCATAAAACTATTTTCATACTGTTTATCTTGGTATTTAAATGCTGCTAATTTTAATTTTGCACATGCTACTGCTGAATTATTAAAATTTAAATGTTTCTATACTAATTATTTAAAAATTATTAAAAAAAAAAAAAAATTAAAGCAAATAGTTACAACTTAAAAGTCTACATCTGTCAAAAATGTCAATTAGTATGTGACAATTACTGCAATGAAATGACCAGTTCAGAAAACCCTGGAAAATAACTAAAATACCATGTCTCCAGATACAAGTTGAGTACCTGGCACATCTCTAAGCATAATTCGATGAAACTATAATAAAGATGAAACTATAAATATAAACTATTCGATGAAACTATAATAAAGATGAAACTATAAACTTGAATTCATTTACTAAATAATAACAGCACTTGAACAAATTTACTAATTAGTAACAACACTTAAACACACTTATTAAATAGTAACAGCACGTGAACACACTTACTAAAAGATTTTTATTTAATCATGATCAAAATCATTTTGATTTTAAATTATTCATTTTTTTAAAAAGAAATTTCAATTTTTTATTTATCAGTTAAAAAAACAATGATCTAAAAAATTAATAAAAATTATTGCTTACCGACAACTCGGTCTCCTGTCTGAACTCCTAAACGCTGCATAGCAGCAGAAATCTTAGCAACTTTAGCTTTCAGTTCAAAATATGTTAATTGTCTTAGTGGTAGCCCCTCACCTAAAGTTATTACAACCTCAAAGTTAATCTGATTCAGATAGCAAACATTTGTTAAAAATAACAACAACAAAATAAAAAACATTACAAACAAGTAAAAAAATATTTATATATAAAGTATCTAAAAATATTTAAGTTAGAAATAATAATAAATTTTCTGATTATTACTGACCAGCTAAGAAAAGAGCAACGTCATCATCTTTTCCTCTAGAAAGCAAGTTTTCAGCATAATTTAATGCACTTCCATTAAACCATCTAGGAATATCTGATATTTTTTCTCTAACATCCACAACCTATATAAAAATTTCTTAAAATAAAAATATAAACGATAGATTAAAATATTTTTTACAGAAATATAAATTGCTATAAAAAGTGTTTTTCTCTACATAACATATGCAGAAAAAAAAATTAGACAAAGAAAGCTTTTATTTCATTGAAATTCATTTAGAATCACATAGATTAATAAACATATTATTTAGATTTTTAAACATAGATTATTAACATATAACTTGATAAAACTTTGAATTAGAATTTGTAAATTCTAGCAACTTTTTTCATTTCATTGTAACATGCATTTCATTTTAACCCAATTCTACTATGAGATCAATGATGAAGTTTTTAATTTCAAGTTATCCAAATTATTCAGCTACTTAATAGAAAAGCTCAAAAAGCAAGTCAAAGTTTAAATTTGAAGAAATCAAACCAGAAGAACTTTTTTTTTTAGCTCCCTATTTAGTTTTTTTTTTTAATATTAACAACATCATCATAATGAACCAATCACCAAAATTAAACCTGTTTTGACTTGTTTAGTGATTTCAAAACAGAGTGTATTCAATTAACTAAGGTCTGATCAAAGGTTATTGCTTAAATGTGTGTGCGGTATAAGTTAAGATAAGCACAATTTTAATTAATAAACATAAAAATTAATATGCAGCTTAATTTCATATATTAATAAATAAAAAATTAAAAACAATTAAAATAATTAAAAAGTACACACCTATTATATTAATTTTAAGTTATATTTTTCCCAAACCAAAATTAAATTGTTGTAAAAATTTATTATTTTGTTCAGTAATATTTTGCACCTGTGGAGCTGAGAATATTTTGAAACCTAAATAATTTTACTAGGCTTAAGCTTTTGATTAGAATATAACGCTGTATAATTGGGTATTTTATGTTAAATTTGGATGGAAAACTGAGTGTGCTGTGAGCTTCATTTTTAAAATATTAAATTTGAAAGAAAAATGAGAAAAGGGTAATGGTTTCAATTGAGCTATCAATCTAACAATTTTCAGATAATCTTCAAGGTTTTATATTTAACTGTTAGGGATATAATTCGGCTTCCTTTCTTCTCCTACCATTGGTTCTGTATTATATAGCATATGGTATATTTAGTATAATAAAATGTTTAATATAATTAAAAACAGTAGTTAAAAGGCATTAATTAAAATTGAAGTAAAAAATGAAACAGTAGTTTTCTTATTTTTAGGAAAAAAATTCTTATTAGGAAAAACAAGCTATGTTTTGCATTTTCTAAGTGCAACTTTTAATAATAATTGTAATTTTTGTTAGCCCTATTTGTGATGTGACAAAAACATTCTTATTTTAAATGAGGAAAGTTCAAAAAAATCTTGTTCTTGAAAAAAAAACTATGGACACCACATGTGAAACTTTTTTAAAAAGGACAAAATCAACCTCTCTTAATATGCATTGAACTTTAATATGGCGTAGATTATTATTCGTGAACTATTTTTATCATTTATTTACTAGACACAGCACTTTTATTAAACCGAAGTTAAAAAATTAAAAAAGAAAATAAATTTAACATTTATACAACAATAAATTTTTTTTTGTGAACAAAATTTTCATACATAGATGCTCACACCCTTACTTTACAATCAATAAATTTTATCTTTTTATCATTATCTCAGTATTATACATAATTAGTGATGTGAAGCCTTTGTAATTAAAAAAAACTTCATATATAGAACATACCTGAATATAATTCTTTGAATAAAGAATACCAGAAAAACTCCAAAACTCTTCCCAAAAGACCTCATAATTATCAACAGACCAATTCCATAAATCATTATAGCAATCTAAAAACATATAAAAGTTTAATAAAACAAACAACTAAATTATATATATATATATATATATATATATATATATATATATATATATATATATATATATATATATATATATATATATAATATAAATAATTATATATATTAAAAAATTAAACTATCTGTATCAGCATTATAAAAGGTAGGGATATCATACATAAGATTCATACATAAGAAACATATATATGTGTCTAGTAGAAATTATATTCCTATACCTAAACTGTCAGAACCTTTTTTACTTAGAAAACAAGCAATTAAAAAGTGAGACACATATTCTATATAAAACAAAATGTAAAGCTTGTAAATACCTATAAAATGTAAAGCTTGTAAATATATAAGTAAACTATAACTAAAATAAATACTTTAAGATGCTAAATAAAAAGATTTTATTTTAAGGAATAATTAAGTAAAGAATGTTAAAAAAAAACATTTTTTTTGTTCAAAACCTACCTAATTTTAAGTGAAACTTTTTGTTCAAATGATTTTGAAAGCAAAAAATGTTTGTTAGATGCTTTAATTTCTGATTTGGCTGCCATAGAACTCTGTTAACATCTTTATTCATAATAAATATGAAGTTTTAATCAATTTTAATGAAAAAGATTTTTTTGAAACTAAAATAAAGTTAAAACCTTATTTTCATTTAAAAATATTATTAAAAAAAAAATTATAAATAAACTTAATTTAATTAAAAAAAAAAATTTGTAAAGGAAATAAAAGTTATAGCCAATATGAAAACTTTTTCTTTGATAATATATAACACTATTTGATTTGAATAAAATATATCCATGTCAAATAACAACTAAATAATATAAATAACAAAGTACAGCAACAATGTATCTACATGTATTGACACCTAATCATTAGCTCTACATACCTAAAACACCACAGGATTACCTGATGCACTCTACCAAATCACTAATTATTAATTAATTATTTATTCATTAGGTTTACATAACTAATAATAAAATATCCTCACTACTTCAGAAACTTCAGAAACCCCTCAGGAAACCATCCTTGAGTCTCTGCTTTTTTAACTATAAATCAATAGACATGTTTTTAGCAGTTTTTAAAACAAAACCTCAGACAGTGGAATTTTTATGTTGATGGAGAAACATTAACTTCTTTAAAAAAAGTTGAACAACTTTGAGTTTTGTGTAAAAAAAAATTTTTTTATAAGATTCAAAACACATACTCAGCAACTAAGTTATGTTGATCAATAAGAACATTAGCTAAAGCTAAACATATCTGGTCTCACCTTAAATATGCATGTCAGATTTGAATCAAGTTTGAAATCAAATTTTAAACAATCTGAATTTTTCTCAGAACAAATATCTTAAAAATATTCTCTTTCAAAATTATTCATTTAATAATGCTATTTTATTATACAAAATCTTTCAGATTCAAAAACTTAAAAATGACATCACTTAAATTATGTTTTGGTATGGTATTATTTACATAGCATAGTATTATTTACTATTTAATCTGGTAATGTTAACATTTCTGTTCTTTAATATTGTAGACTCTAAAGCTAAGTTCATAGCATCCTTTTTTTATATTGAGTCTTGGTATGGTATTACTTACATGGCATTACTTGGTCTGGTATTACTTAGATAAATAACTTTTTGTAGTCATCAATGAATGTAAGAACTTCCTCCAAAAATACATTACTGGTTAATTGTTGAAACTAAACTATGATTCTGAGACCATAATTAGGAGTCTCACTTTGATACCTAAAGACGATAGCATATTTAAGAGTAATCAATGTTTTGAAAAAACAGGAATTTATTGTTTTTAATTATCCTTGTTTATGTTTTTACTTGTTGATATTTGAATTTGCCTCGACTAGATTTTTTGGTCTCGCTTAATTTTAGTTATTTTTAAAAATTTTTTTGCATCTTTTTTTTATAACTAATATAAACGCTGTTTGCAAAAAAAAAAAAAAATTCTGTCTCGAAATACCGAGAAAATAAATGTGAAAATATAAAAACCGAGATAACTGAAAATTATTGAAAACCTTCAGAAAAGCTTTTTTTTTTTAATGAGTCAAAACGTTTTTAAGTAAACAAGAGTTCTAGGATAAATTTTCTCACGAGAAACTATTTTCCACGTATTTATCCGAAGGAAACAGGTGAAAAATAAAAAGCGTTAATTTTGAAAATTTTTAATACTTTTTAGTAATCTCAACTTTAATGCTTTTAAAAATCATATAAGTTGCAATTGCAGTGCAATATTTGCTCATTTATGATTCTGATGATAATGAGATTTGTCACATAAAAAGATTAAAAATATTAAATAAAAAGACTGTATTAAACTAAAAAGTAAGTGTTCATTAAATTTATTCATAAAAAAGTTATTTTAATTTATGACATTTAATTTATGACATTTATAGCAACTGCAACTTTAATGATTTTTAAAACTGAACAGATTCAAATATTGAAATGGTAAAACTACTGTCTAGTTTCGAAAAATGACAGCTGCAACTTTGAATGACTTAAGTCTTTTGAAAAGTTTTTTCAAGAGTCAACATTAATTTGATAAATGTGGAAAACTTAAGGTTCATTAATAATCAAAAGGTTCATCAATAATCAAAAATTTAAAAACACAAATTTTTTGGAAAATTTTAGTTTATTTTCAAAGTTTTTTTTTTTTTGAAAAAATCTCGGTTTTATCTCGGTTTCGTACGAGATCTGTGGTAGTTTATTCCATCCGCCTGATTTATTCCATCCTGCTGCGTAAAACTCAAAACGAGAATGCGTTTTTAGTTATAGCCGTTAGAAATGGCCGAGCAGTTAAAAAAAATTTAAGTGGCATGGAATAAATCAGGCGGCCTACTTTAGTAGTAAATGATTCCATCCCAATGTGTAAAACATCAAATTGAAACTAATTTTATAACTTTTTTTTTTGTTTCCATGTTTATTTAGTAATATATAACTAATAGTTTTCAGTTCTATACTTTTTATCACATCACTTAATACCATTATCATAGCATCTTTTATTTAATAATTAAATAGGAGGAAGATGATAATTTAGTTTAGTAATTTACTTGAGGGGAGGTGATAATTTAGACAGATATTTTTACATAATTATATAACTAATTTAATCAGATAATTCATTTTGAAACTATACAAATATCAACTAATTATTGATTAGTTTATAGTGGTAAAATTTCTATTATTATAATTTAATACTTTGAATTATACCATCTTACACTGAGCGATTTACAAAGGAGAGGTAGTAGATCAGACAGATAATAATTTATGTCTGAATATATTCAGAATAATTCAGTGAATAAAAGTGTTTGTACAACTTTTTTATGTAAATAAATAGCTAATTAGTTAAAAGTTTTTTATTTTTTATTACTATAACTTTCCCTTATATCGTCTTTCTAACATTACTGTTGTGTAAACTTTATTTCTAAAATTCCCATCCACTAAGCGTTTTTTCTCCTTGTTTATGTTTATCAAAGTTGTACGGACGTCTAAATATACTTAGAACAGTCATAAACCGAAGTCTTTATCTCGTTTTTAGTTTTACGCAATGGAATATAATAAATCAGGCGGATGGAATAAACTACCGCAGATCTCGTCTCGTAAAAATATTGTCTTATATGAACCAAGAACCGAGACGAAAAAAAAACCCGAGATTCTAAAACAATACTTCAAAACTACTAAAAATACTTTACTTAATAGTTTTTACGACGCAGACGCGCAAATTTTCCATGGAAATAAAGTTTCGATTGACAATATTCTGAAAAACCTATAGGGGACAGTGGGGCACAGCTGAACAAAAATTGGTAAATTTTGATTTACTAAAATTTTTCTGCTTGTAACTTTACTCCGAAGTTTAATACAAGCAAAACTATTTTTGACGGAATTAAATTATGTCCGAGAAAGATAAAAACAGTTGTATTTTGTAGGTGACATGCGTTATAGCAAAGCTCACAAAGTTGTTCAGCTGTGCCCCGTGGTGGGGGCACAGCTGAACAATTTTGCAAGTTTTGCTATAATTTGTGGGGGCACAGCTGAACAATTTTACGAGCTTTGCCACAGTTAAAACAGGGATGGGGCACACTTGAACTTAGCATTTTCTACAATTGATTCCCATGACAAATTAGGTCCAGTAAAACAATAAAAAGCAAGAACAAATGCAGTCGGCAAAAACTTTAAGCATTAATACTAAATAAACCAAACGTCTTACATGCACAGTACTTATCTAGCAAGCGAAAGAACATACAGCAATGAAATTCTGCCTGCACCAATATTAGTACCAGTTCTGCAATTCTAAGTTATAAAACATGCACTAACAGATTTAATCTACAAATAGTACAATCAGAAATCCAACATAATGCAATGTTGTGTTTGTTCATAAAATTAAAGTATTGTAATAGTACAAAATAATGATAAATGCAGTCAGCGAAAACTTAATACTTTAGAGCTGTAGAAACAAGTCTTGTTACACGGTAAAGGACTATATTCTGTTCGTCTTGTATGACTAGTCTGAATAGAATGTCACTTCTTAGGCATTTGGGGATGCAATTGATGCATGCAAAATTTTCTTTTAAACCTTTTGCCAATCATATTAAATAAAACGTTTTTGAAGTTTTCAATCGGTTTTTCAACAAGTAGTTTTATAGTTGCACGAGGGGAACAAATGTTGTTAAGATACTTGTGTTGTATTTCAACTTGACTTTTACGTTTTACAATATCGTCAGGTAGAAAGAGTTAATTAGAGCTAAGTTTACTCTTTATTTTAACATAAAAACTCGTCACTTAAATAAAACAAACCAATATTGTAGTATCTTTCTATGAAAATAGACACTGGGATCATTCAAAATAGTTGGAATCACTCAAAATAGTTGAGTCCATTTTTTTACACAACTTATTTAACTGAAAATTTTTCCAATAACTCATGGCGACTTTAATAATTTATAGTGCTTTTAACTTCCATCACAGCTTGGTTTCTAAAATTGTTCTTAGAGGTTCTACGCCTAATATATGTCCAACATATTATGTCGGTGTAGTTTATCGGTATGTCGGTGTTGCCTAATTCGTTTTGGCATGCCCCTGCAGGCACAAACTATATACAGGCAGGCTGTGTCTACCTGTAGTTACGGGTCTTTTTGCATTTAACATTTTTAATTTTTCATGCACAACATAATTATATATCAACTATAAATGTTTATTCGTTACTATATATAAGTTGAACAAGAGTATTCTGTTTACCTTACTTATAAATATTATTTTAAACTTAATAAAAGTTATAAATATTATTTTAAACTTAATAAAAGTTTAAACTAATATAAAATATTAGTTTAAACTTTTAATTGATTCATCAATCGATTCACTTCTACTTTAGCCTATCAACCAAAAAACGAATGTTCTTATAAGTGGTGGGGTGTTTACAATTAAACCGTGCTCCGTGCGGCTGTGGTGCAGTGGTTACAGCGCTTGCTTTGTATGCAGGAGATTCAGGTTCAAAACGAGCTCTGAACATATTTTCGAAAATTTTGTGTGCACCTTCATCCGTTAAGAGAACCTCTCTTTTAGCACAACGAGAAACATATTTTAAGCCAAAAGAAACAGGCTGTTGCCCGAGCATGGAGAACAGACTACGTTTTTAAATTATAATTTGCCTAATATCTAACAATAGATAACCAATTTAAACGTAATAAACTAATAAGTATAATAAAAATAACTTTCCTCATTTGTAATTAGTAATTACTAAATGGTAATTTTATTATACTTCAAAGTACAAACTAATGTAAACTAAACATCGTTTATAATAAAATTTTAAAGTTTAGATTTGATTAATCAAGTCACTAACAATCACTAACAAGAAGCTTAATTAGTTTTATAATTCACACCCTAGTTCAACTACTAATTTGTATTTAGAATAACTAATTAGCTAGTTATCTTTTTTCCATATAAAATTCAACTTGTTCAAACAAGGCCTAGTTACATCATAGAATCCTATAATATCGTGTAATTAAAAAAAACCTTGACGATTTGTTATAGTAAAATACCTTTTTCGCTAAAATACTTATCATTACAGTACATATATTTTGCAATATGCAGTATATATATATATATATTATATATATACATATATATATATATATATATATATATATATATATATATATATATATATATATATATATATATTAACTGCAGTAAAATGTTAAAAAAATTTTTTCAGCAACTTATATTATCCCTAGATAGCTAGATCTGTGAGATAGCAAATTTTATCTATACAAGTGGAAAAGCTTCGGCTTCGGCAAAATCTTACCTTCGGTACATCCTTAGTTCAAATATACTTAAGTAAACAAATTTGACATACAGTGAGCATAGTTTAGTGTGTTTTAACTTTGAGTGGATTTGAATATAGATTTCAATTGTGTATATTGTAAGAGGTCGTCCATAAATTACGTAGGCAACTTGCTAATTAAGTGTTCCGATTTTGTGACGTGGGGGGGGGGTAAAAGGCGTCAAAAATTGAGTGACATAATTTATGGACAACCCCTAAGTTATTTATAAATTATATAAACTAGTGATATGCTTTTAAAAATATTTTATTTATTTTAAAGTTCAATAGCAAAATATATTTTAAAATCAGCCTATTTATTTAGTAGAGAATGATAATTTTAATTATATTTATAATCGAAATTATCATTTTCAAAGCTTTGTACAAACTCTCAAAAATCAATAAAAAGATTTTATTTTGTCTTTGCATTTGCTATTTTAAAACACTAGTTGTATTTCTTGTTCTGCAACACACATACGCAAACACATTTCAATTTTTTTTTTCTCCTTAATTATTTTTTAAGCTTTCGATGAGAAAGGAATGGTAGTTTAAAAAATGAAAATAATAAATGACAATACATTTACCTTTAATTAGTCCAATATATAAACTTTATATTTCAAAGTTTATTGATTTGAAACCAATAAATAAAAACAATAAAACTATTTATAACAAGAATAAATAATAAAAATGTTTTACTCGCAGCTAAACGCTGTTAAAAATGTATAAAAACGGTAAACAGCCAAAGTAAATTATTCAACGTAAACTTATGATGCAACCAACTAGTTAGATTCTTGCTTCAAATTAGCACGCTTCTTTAGGTAAAACCTAAAGATATATCTTCTTTAGGTTTTATACAAGGAGGAACCTTTTAACCTATAATTCATCACGCAAAAAGGTTTTTGGTTTTTGAGATAAAAAGTAACGAGCGTAGTCAATAGTACTCTAAAAAAAGTCAATATAATTACTAAAAATTAAAATAAGAAACAACTTATTTATTCCCAATCTTAAAATAAAGAACAAACCTCAACCCACAAAGTGTTATTTACAATCGCATTGTTTTCATATTCACTCGAATCAAACAACGTAACACTTGGAGTTTGATCAATAGTGTAGTGAGCCGCAATTCGACGTTGATGTTCTGGCCATTTAGTGGTAATTTTTATGAATTCGTCTCGCTCCACAAAAATATTCCAGATTAAAATCTAAAAAGAATAAAAAATATAACAGACCTTTTAAAACATGGATATAAGATATTCTTATTCTGTTTTTGCTTTAACGCTGCATGGAGTCTTACATGATTAGGTCTTTTTAAAATATTCAGTTGAGTTTTCGTTTTCGAAAATATGTGTATGTTCAGTTGTCAACTTGGTTTCATATCTAATATTGCTATAGATTGTTATCTGCATACAGATCATATCCCGTTGAAAAATGACCTAACGGGTATCTATCAACTTTCTAGTTTTATAGAGGCTATTATAGCAACTTATTTGTTGTTATTGATATTATTAAAAATTGAAATTACTTAAGCGCAGCCCATTTTTAATCTTTTACTGTTTTGAGTTGAATTGTTATTCAGCTTGTTCACCCTCCACAAGTTTAATAAATGAACTGTAAACTCTCCCAACGGGTACAGAACATTCGTTGGACGTCTTAAGGACGTCGTAAAGACTTGTGGCGTCTACAAGACATTGTATAAACGTCCTACGGACATCTGTTCCCACTTGGCTGTATATAACTTTACTGATATTAACATGGATTTCAAACAAGATCTAGATGTTGTTTACGTATATATGTATTTTTTGTTTTAGATGCCCCAAGAAGACCTAAGGATCTTGTCACAGAGTACTGCGGAGGAGCATTTAACTAGGAAACTCACACTTTCTGCCTCACCAGTGGCGAGAAATATGCCCAGAGCTTGCTTCGAACTCTGGATCTCTTGCTTTTAAAGTAAGCGCTATAACCACTGCGCTACAGCCGTTGCATAACGTATTATTATATGAAAGTTGTTTGATATCCAATATTTAGTGCGAACCATGCTATAAAGTTTACAAAACAAAATGTGACCTAAAAAGAGATTAAACTTTGAAACACATAAAAATCAGTTCTAAACTCTATAACATTTAGTCGTCTTGATCTTAAGAAAATTGTTGAACTAATCGGCAATAAATTGTCTAATGATTTATGCTTACCTGAAGAAATCCGAGCTAAATTTTTAAAACAGAGTTTTTATTTTAGTTCTGAAGATGCTAATTAGGGGTCGTCCATGAATTATGTCAAGCTTTCAGGCAGGTCGGAGGAGGGGTTTGTGGTTTTCTGACGGCTCAAACAGAACTTGATACTAAAGAGTTACAATGCTGTGAAAAGAAAGGAGGATGGTGCGGGGAGGGAGGGGGAGAAGGAGGTGGGGTAAAAAACGGTAACAAATTGCGTGACATAATTTGTGGACAATCCCTTACCTTTTGGTAAAACTTCAGATTTTTGTTTCATAAATTTAAAACAATGCAGAAAAATTTTATTCTTCTTTGCTATTGTTATTTTTTTTATAAATTTATTAACATCAAAGTTTGTAGATGTTTATTAACCAATACTTAGTTAACTGAAGTTTCGAACCACATACTTAAAAATCTTTTAGGAAGAAAATCATCTAATAAAAAAATCATCTAACAGAAAAATATAATCATCTAATGCTTTTTCTACAAAAAAACTCAATAATATGTACAAAAGTTTTATTTTAAATTGAAACTTTCTAAATCTAAGTAGAATCAGATATCAAAATAAAAACAGCAGTATAAATGCATTCATACTCATAACATATTTTTTCAACCCATACTTATAATGCCAATAAAACATAACTGCAAGGCTTAAAAAGTTCTTTATTGTTATTTTTTTATTGTTGTGGGATTGGATCTGATTGATAATAGGTTCAAAAATTTATCATAAATATGAAATTTTCAAACTCAGCATAGCATAATTTTTTTTTAGTTTTAATTTTTAAGTATTTGTACAAATTTTTTCCATTTATCGAGTTTTTGTTAAAACAAAAAAACAAATCAAATAGTATGACGCATCCAGCCATATACATAAATAGTAAAATATAAAGAATCTTCTACAAAATTTCAAATTTTGTTACTATTGTTACTATAATAAGAAAATGGTCTGGAACAAAAACTTTCAAGAAAATTCTACACTGGAAAAAGTCTTGCTCTTTTGAGGTAATCCAGTCATCAAGCTGTTTTTTTGGTATCGTCATCAAAAGAAAATCGTTGCTCAGCCAAGCCATGTGTCAACGACTAGAACAAATGGTAATAGGAGGGGACAATATATGGTAAATAGGGCGGGTGAAGTAGGACATCCCATTTGAGGTTCTCCAGGTAGTTTTTTACAACATTTGCAACATGGGGTTGTGTGTTGTCATGTTGAAGAATAACCTTGCATGTTTTTCGGTGTATTGTGAACTTTTCTTCTTTTATGTTTGGCTCAACTTGATCAATTTTCATTGGTAACAACTATTGTCGGTAACAGTCTGCTGTAATCATCTTGCTTGGTTAAAGCAGCTCATATTTTACTTCAAGCTGGTCCCATTAGATACAGAGCATGAGCTTGGAACCATGAGTATTTGGTTTCGCTGTTAATGTTGATGGCTAGCTGGACTTGACCCATGCTTTTCTGCGTTTAGGGTTGTTGTGACATATCCAATTTTCATCACCAGTAACAATTCAATGCAGAAGCCGTTTTTTTTTTTATCTTTCTCAGCACTTTATCTCAACATCAGGATGTTCTTAATCTTTGAGGTCAAAATCATTACCCTTGAATTGTTGAAATCATCAGCAGCCTCAGCTGTTGTTGTCTTTTGGTGGAAGTAATGTAAAAGAATTCCTTGCAAAAAAGTTTTTATAGGCACAAACTCAGCCATGTTTAAAATTTGGAATAAAAATTTCTTTACACTCTAACAGTTGAAATTAGATTTTAGCTTTCAGGTAAAATTTATTTCAGCTTGATTGGATATATGCCTGCTGAATTACAAGTCTCAATACAAAACGCTCATTTTCAAAGCATACTGTCAATAGTATTTTATCTTTAACGTTTTTTTTAGAAAAATATTATTAACAACTTAGTATATATTGTGTTAACATTAATAAAGGCGGAAACCCATTTTTTGTAAAATCATCAAATTCTTCAGGAACTTTGAAAAAGCAACTCAAATTGAAAAATTATTCAGCACTTGAGTGTTTTCAAGAAAAAAAGTTTGAAATAAAAAGAAACCAAAAAACTTGTGCAGAAAAGAAGATCTGATAGTAAAATTTGCAGACAATAAGTTCAAACTGTGTATTTTTTATAAGCACGTATGAACCTAATGTTAGAGAGAACAACTCTTTGTTTCATAAATAGTTTTTAAAAAAAAACAAAAAGAGTTCTGGTCATAAAAATTTAGGCATTTCTTTTTATTACTATTTCTTTTTATTATTATTTTTACTTTATTTTATTACTTGTAACTATTCAAATATGTTAATACCAAGTATTAATATGTTAAAAATAAATCAACAAAAAAATTTTTTTTTACTTCGTCCATAGTTCCTACAAAATATTCATTTAAATAACAACCAAGGTAAATTGGTGCTTCTTTAACCTCGTCTGCCTCCTACAGTAGAAAAAAAAAAAAAAGAAATATTATAACTACAATACACCAAACACCCTATTGTACCCTGTTATAATATACTCCAGATGACCCTTAGGATTTGCATATATCATTATACCCTAAGAGTTATTGAAGTTTTTGTGAAAATACAACTTTCTTTCAACAAATATCGATACAAATTTCCACAAAAACTGAATTTTTTATGAACTTTAAAGGGTCATCTGGAGTATTAGATTATATTAAACACAAATTCAAAATTTCAAGTTAAATGTTCAAATCTCGAGTTATCATGTTTTGAGTTATGGCAAGTATGCAAAAAATTAAAAACAGAGAAAAATGCAAAACATAAATAAAATGTTGAAAAAAAAAGTTTCTCCTCAGTAAGAACCACTTTGATATGAATCTACTGATTCTTTTTGACTCATATTAGCAAAAAAATTTTTTTTTTCTGGCTTGTAATCATTTCTATGCTTTTACTCAGCATTCGTGAACTTTTTATTCATTCGCTTAATGCGTGAATTATCTAACTTTGTTGCCACAGTCTTTAAACCTTGCCCTTTAAAACCAAAGTGTTCCAAAACCTACAGTATTCTTTCCACCCATCATTAAAATGAATAATAGCTGAATGTACACCCATTTTATGGTTTTCTGCCAACAAATACAATTTTCAGTAAATTTTTGTTAATAATGTAAGGTATAAAATTTTCAACAGTACTGTTACAACTTATCAGCTTATTTATCTGTCTGAGTCATGTTTATAACTTTTAATATAAAAGCGGTCTAAATATCATAATTTAAAGTCATGTTTATAACTTTTAATATAAAAGCGGTCTAAATATCATAATTTAAAGTCATGTTTATGACTTTAAATTATGATATTTAGACCGCTAAAGACATATAGCAAATACACCTTAGAAAATGTTCAGAGTAAAATAAGGCAAATACTATGAGAGGAAAATAAAGAATAAACTTCTTTTTACGGTAACTAGAGGCGTTGCCATCTGATGCTACCTAAGAGTGTTTTAAGGTGTAAATATGGACCAAGAAATACTTTTATTGTTTCCAGTGTTAGTTGAAATAAAAATAGACATATTAAATAATAAAATTCTACCATAAAAAAAGAATAAATGTTTGCATCCCTACTACATTGAGAAAAAAAAATAAAAATTAATATTTTATTTATATATAGTGTTGTAGAACATATTTTTAATTTTTCAATTTAGACAGATATTTCCATATGATATATAGTTTAGACAAATATTTCCATTTTAGTTTCTAAATCATAGTTGTTATTATCTGTTGACTATTTTATCGTATTTTAAACTACTGCACAGGTCATATAAGAGTTTGCATGTGGGGAGGAAGTGGGAATGCAGGCGTTTGCAGTACAATTTTATATTAATTTTTTCAAAATAATATCACATTAAACTAAAAAGTTTAAAAATGTTTCTTTTTACATTTTTTTCAGAGTATTGAAAAATATTGTTCTATCTAATCTTCTTGTGTGGACCTGCAGCTGCAAAAACAATAGTAATAACTTATAAACTTACAAATTTTTGTATAGGTACTTCAGTGCGCAATGCGTATAACGCTCCATCCACAAAAATTTGAATGTTTTGATCTAAGTAGAACAAAAAAAAATCTTTAAAGAAAAAAATATAAAATAAATCTCAAAAACATTACTATAGTAATTTACTTTATTCTATTTTTTGAGGTAACTAACATTTTGGGGTATATATTTTTCGAGGTAATTAACATTGAAGTTAGTTATTATTAATACTGGAATAGTTTGTTAATCTATAAAAAATGGATTAATAGTGGAGAAAAGAATGTGTAAACAACCAAAAATTGTGAATTTGTTTAAAAAACGTAAAAAGTAAAATTAATACACTGTTTTGATAAATAAAAAGAAAACAATTTTAAATGCAAAAATTGTAAATAAAACAGATTTGCTAATGCACTTATTTTAAAAAATTCCTTTTTTCTTAAAAGAGTGCATTTACAAATTTGTTTTATTAACAATTATTTAAAAAAAGTGCAATCATATCAAGAACCTTTAGTTATAACTTTGAGCTAATTAACAGAAAATGAGCAAACAATAATTAAATATAAACATTTTTACAATTTCCTAATTTTTGACATCCTTGACTTTTACTATTAATATTTTTCTATTAATGAAAAACTTGATCACAGATCTTATTATCACTTAATAAAAAAAAAAATGAATTTGTCATCCTGCCTTCAACATAAAAAATGGGATAGTGGAAGTAAAAATTAAATATAAGGTTTATATTTGGAAAGTGAAGAAAAGATTTTAAAATATTAAAAATTGAAAAAAAATATTTTTTTGTATTTTTATAAAAAAAATATTTTTTATATTTTTATAAAAAGTACTTTTTATATTTTTATAAAAATACTTTTTATATTTTTATCAAAAAATACTTCCTATATTTTTATAAAAAATACTTTCAATACTTTTATAAAAAATATTGTTTATACTTTTATAAAAAATATTTTCGTTTATTTTTTTAAAATTTATAATTGTAAAAAAATCAAAAAAAAAAAAGAAAGTAAATTAGGGTAAAACAAAAAAAAATGAGTTTCCTCATTTTTTTGTTTGTTTGGAGTAAGCAATCAAAACAAGAATAAAATTTTTTAATTGTTTTTTAACTACATTAACAATCTTCCTATATATTTTATAAAGTGGCTGATAATATTGCTGATAATTTTATTTCTAAATATATATTCGAGTCTTGATCACCACTCTAATTGTTTAAATAACTTAAAATAATAAGTATAATCTTTTCTCTGTTATTGATCTCACAATGATTGGTCAATTTTTACTTTTAAAAATCAATAAAGTGTGATAACAATTAGCTGAAGTAAGAACTGGAAAAATTTTAAAAGTTAGTGGAAACTGGAAAAATTTTAAAAGTTAGTAAAATAAACCCTGGAGGTCTTGAATTAAAGAGAGAATGAAAAAAAACGGAAAGTTAGTAATAACTGGAAAAATTTTAAAAGTTAGTTAAATAAACCCTGGAGGTTTTGAATTAAAGAGAGAATCAAAAAAACTTATAAACGAAGTAATTTTATCTAAAAGCAAAAAACTCATATATCAACAAATATATTCATATATAACAAAAAAATCATGTATGAACAGATAAAAACAAAAGACAAGAACAAAACAGTGTACTTACTAAAAGAATCATATTGAATTATGATATACTGCCATTTGTCATCCAATAATGGAACATTAGCTTCAGTTATTACCAAACTTAAGCTGAATTTTAGAAATCTAAAAATCAAAAAATTGTGATGTTAGAATAATAGGGTTTTATCTTCACTTTTAGGTAAAACTGAGTTATTACACTAGATTACTTTGATTACCACGTGATTACTTACCACATGATTACTTACCTTTGATTACTACGTGATTACTTACCACTTTGAAACCTTTCTACTCTATAAGAGATTTAATATATAAATTAAAAGAAGAGAAAATCGAAGTTTGTTAAAGTTCTATCTCCATAATACATGAAATGCATACAACTATAACGGTGTAACTCTTTTAATAAAGTTCTTAAGTTTAATCTCCATTAACCAATGAATAACGTGAATGACTTTGGTATGCAATCAATTTCAACCAATAAGAAAAATTATAGCTGCAAAAAGTATTAAAAAAAGATGGCTGATAGCATGATAATTTTTAGGTTAGTTGTAGTATTTAGAGGATAAAAACTTTTTATAAATTATTTACTTAACTTTTAGCGCTAAAGTTACATTTCACTTTGTTTTGCACAAACAATATTAGTAAAATTAAAGAAATATAAATGCAAATTTTTATATATCATTTAAAAATCTGCATTTATATTTCATTAATTTTTTTATATATTAAACAATTTTTGCTAGAACTAAGATGTAGTACAGGAGGAGTCTATTGTCAATTGAATTACTCTTTATACATTAAGTATTCAAAAGAAGAGATTATCAGTTCATATGAAGACAACCATTTGAGTAAACAACATTTTCCTCATTTTAATTGAATGCACCATATTATTAATGTCGATGTGTTGCACTCAATCATTACATTTTTGTTTCAATTGTACAATATTTTTTTAATCAATTCAAATCAATTTATACTCATTTGTATAGTAAATTATACATCTAATGTATAGTTTTATACATTTAATGTATAAGCTTATGTTCTATATATAAATTTTATTTTCTATATATACATATTCCATAAATACAATAATATGTTTAAATATGTTATATTATTATATATTATGTTATTAATTATACATTTATATAACTATTTATATATTTATATAGCCAATTATACATTTATATACATTTATATAAATAGTTATACTTATTAATGGTTTGTCATTTTTCAAGGTCATTGAGCAGAACAAGAAAGCGAATGAGACATCTGAAAGAATGGAAATGTAACAAGCCAAAAACATTGAAAGAAGCTAGTCACCCTTACATAAATGCAAAAGGGAAGTCTGTAAAGATAGAAGAAGTTAAGAATTATAATGATTGTAGTAATTTGTTTAAATGTTATTGAAAAATAAATTAAAATAATCAAAAAGATTTACTAGAATAATATTACATCTTGAACAGTCTTAATAAAAAAAATTTCATTTTAACATTCTCAAAATGTTTTATATAAGGGAAGAGAGGGGGAAAAAAAAAAGAAGTATCTAGAAGACTGAATTCATTTGCATATTTCTTTCTTTTTGATGGTATGGAAATTAAAGTGTGTAAGCAGTTTTATATAGGAACACTAGACATCAGTCAAAAGATGGTTTACAATGCCCACAAGAAAAAAAGAGACACTATGATAATCACTATGATGACCATAGAAGATAAATGCGGAAAACATGTTAAAAAGATAATTTGACAAATTGCAGTGGAAAGTTACAACTGTAGAAGCTCAACAAATAAGCTGTCATCAGAACTAAATGTAAGGAAAATGTACAACCTTTAATTGCAAGCATTTATTCAAGATGAGGGATTCATACTTGTGTAACTTTCATTTTATAGGCATATTTTTTCCACAAAATTTAATTTGGAGCTCCATATGTGCAAGACAGATCAATGTAATTTGCATGAAAAAATTGTAATTTCTGAAATAGAAAACAAACTTAAACAGGCATTGGAAGAAAAGTATAAAGAGCACATTAAAAATAAATAAAAATAAAGAAAGACAACAAAAATAAACAAGGTTGTTTAGTAATGTTTGACCTTGAAAATATTATTTCGTTGCCAAGAGTTGACATAAGTTCATTGTTTTATAAAAGGAAATTAAATATGTATATTTTACAGCCTATGAAGAAAAGTCAAAGCAACAATACTGTGCTGTTTGGAGTGAACTGGAATCCGAAAGAGCGGATAATGACATTGCATCAGCTGTAATAAATATTCTTGAAAATATTGTAAAAGAGAACCCTACAACAACTAGTATTATAACGTGAAATGACATGTCACAAACAGAAACAGCATAATGTCTTTTTCTATAATGAACTTCCTGCGACATTACAAGGACAGAAAGTTTGTTACCATGAAGTACAATGTTTCAGGACACTTATATGTACAGGACAGACAACATACATTCTCATATTGAGAAAGCCTTAAAAACACGATAAGTACTTTCCCCATTCATCGCTGTTTAATTATTAATGGAGTAAGACAACAAAAACTTTACAAAGTAATTCAAATAAGCAACAACCATTTTTAAATTTTCAAGCCTGCTCGAAAATGTTTCAGTTTTTTAAAGTTCTATTTACAAAAGTGTCTTTTTTGACATTATATAAAAAACTATTTGTTGTTTTCAAAAAAAGCCTTTATAGTGATGAAATTGAGAACAATATTTTTGTTTGACCAGCCATGAAAACTAGAAAACAACAAATATATATATATATATATATATATATATATATATATATATATATATATATATATATATATATATATATATATATATATATACATATAAATATATACATATATATATACACTTTCTGTATCTCAAGCCTAGAGTTAACAAAAAAATAAATGAGCTGGTTTAGAAGAAACGGAAAGACCTAAAAGAAATGTTAAAATTTATGAGCAATGTTGACAGGGCTTTTTATGCAAGTGTTGGAATAAAGTAATTCTTAATCTAGTCTTGTCAAAAATATGTATCTTTAAGAGATATCTTTAAGAGATATGGAAAGGCCTAAAAGAAATGATAAAATTTATGAGCATTGGTGACTGGTCTTTCTATGCAAGTGTTGGAATAAAGTAATTCTCAATCTAGTCTTTTCAAAATTGTGTATCTTTAAGAGATTGTGTTCCAATAAATAAATATATTTTTTATACGTGTATTTAAGAATAAACGTTTTCAATTCAAAGCTCTTGTCAATTGGAACTTATTCTCCTTACGAATTATTTATATAGATTTTTACTGTTTTGCTTGTATGTTTAAAAACATGTTTTGTTAAAACCACAAATAATTTATAAGGGGTTGTGTTAGAACTTTGTCTACATAAAATAAACTGTCTTATTTTTATTTTTGATTGTTAAAATCAGTTTGTGTAAAATAGAAATGTCTGAAAGACTATGAAACTTAAATGTATACCTATATTATAAAATCTAAAGCCTTAATTCATTACTCAACTTGACTCTTTGTGTTCTGTTACATGAGAAAATAACATTGGGTCAGAAGTAAATAATGAATAATGAAATGTATAGTTATTTTTATTATGTTATTGACTAACATGATACTAATTATGATAATTATTACTAGCTGTCATGACCCAAACAATACGAGTCGTGGTAAGTCTAACCTGACTATTTCTAAACTTGTTCCTTAATTTAGTCTTAAATTAATATTGAAATTTTTAACAAGCTCTTTGTTTTTGAAGTTTTTTTTGTTCTGACAATTGTCTAACTTTAAACAATCCACTGCAACCTTGCTTGCGTAGAAATACTTGTTGGAAATTTTCTGTCATTTTTATAACATTTGTTGAGAAAATTAACCCATCACTTTGAATTGAAAAGGAGCATTTAATCTTAGATATTACAATTACAATCAACGATATTACACGTACACGGATACACGGATTTTGAAAACCGTTTCATGAAAATTTAATACTATTAAGAATATACTTTAATTATTTAAAATATAAAAACAAAAATAAATGTTTAAACTTTTTTTAAATGTATTTAAAAAAAGTTTAAACATTTATTTTCGTGATGTACCCAATTAAAAAACATCAAACTAACTTATTCAATTTTTAATTGCAAACGATGTGTTTTGTTCTTGTTTTCTCTCTACTATAACACACAAAGACATGAAATATGAAAAAGCTTAAAAAGATTGCTTAATATGAAACAACTGATATTTATCATATTTTTGGTATTGGATATGTATGTTCAGAATTAGGAACACGTGCTCCTATTTCTGAACAAAATTTTTTTTTTTTTAATTTAACAATATTTTTATAATAAATACACTTGTTGCTTAAAATGGTTTGATTCAGTTTTTTTAAGTCATTGTGATAATAATTAAATTTCTATTTTTAATTATTGGTTATATAAAATTCTATAACGATAAACAAATGATCAAATATGTTAAAAAAAACAATGTTTTATTTTAAAACTAAAAGCAAAGACTCATTAATTGTTGAAACTAGTTTGTTTTAGTTTTAATTTAAAAGAATAATAACTCCACGAGTAAAATCAAAGTTTTTCAAAACAATTTTGTTCCATAAAACAGCTCCCTACAATAGAATACAAAGTTTTGATTTTAATTTTGGTTGTCGTACAAATTACTATTTTATAACATATTTTTTTTTTTTTTACACGAAAATATAAAAAAAAAATTAGCATATGTTTTTTTCTTCTTGTGTATCAACTTTTACCTGAGACTTTCAAACTCAGCTAATTAAATATAATGAATAAAAAAATGTTTCATAATATATTATTTTTATTTCTTCTAATAAAAGTAACACATTTAACAATAATAGTAAAAGTAATAACAGCCTAATATTTCTTGAAAGTTTAATTAATTTTATAGTGTTTATTGAGGAACAAATTTTATTTTTTTCAGATAATTTTTTATAGAAATTGTCTATTGTTACGAAAGTTTGTTCAAAATTCTTTGACTAAATGATGCTGTAATGTTGCTAGTAGCAACAAACATGGCTTGCTACAAAATCTAATGTTTTTTCTAAGTTTTTTGAAATTAATACATGTTGATGGTTTATTTTGACTACCATAATGACTGACTTTAATCCAACTAAGCAAATAATATAAGTTTTAACTTTGAAAAAATACATACTTAGCACTTAGTTTAGATTTTTTTGACAACTTAAATTGTGTTTACTAATGCATATGATTTATTAAATGCAAAAAAAAAAAAAAAAAAATCAGGAGTGGGGAGAGTTTCAATCTGCCAGTCAAATTGAAAAACAGTGACATGCCAAGATCAACAGTATAAAAAATATTGTTACAATTGTCGTTTTGTTAGGTTTGCTTTATTAGTTTTATAAGTAAATAAGTTTTATAAAGTAAAAAACTTTCTTTTATTTATACATGTTTGGTTACAATTTTTTACATTGTCATGTACATTTATATTCTGATAAATCTTCTGTTTAATCATAACTATTTTAAAATTATAAAAAAACACAAATTAAATAGTTAAAATTTATGATGAAGACTTGAAATCTAATTTGGTAATCAACCACTCAAGCAGATGAGATGAAATCTAATAAAAATTGGCTACTAAATTTTATAAGCAATTTTTGTTAATTTGAAACATGTTTGTCATTTAATGCTTTTAATTTACATTATTTACAAAATTGGTCTTTTTTTTAATTTAAATGTGCACTTATATTTTATGCCTGTCATCAAAAGGGTTCACCATGAACTTTATACTCCAATGGTCTTAACGAAGCAGTTTGCAACTTGGTTCTAATGTTTTTTTATTATTACTATTTTCTGTTCTTCAAATTTTCAAGTTAGTTAATTTTTTTGTTGTTACAGTGAACATTATATTTTAATATTGAATATATATTTATCCAATGTAAACATACTTAGGATGTTGAAATACTTGCTAAAAATAGAACATTACATCTTCAAATAAAAAAATTTGAAAATACTCTTTTAATAAAAAAAGGGACATTTCTCTTTCAAATAAAAAAAAATTAAAAAAAACAGAACAAAGTATTAAAAAAAAAAAAAGGACTCTTTCAAATAAAGGTTTTAAGAGGTAAGAGAATTTATTATGTTTATTCTAACATCTCTTAACATGTTGATTGCTATATATCGATTATATATCAGTGTCTGTTTTCAGTCTTAAATTAGAAGCATGCAGACTGCCACATAAAGGAATTTTTACTATTATATAGGAATATCTACTGTATGTAGTATCTAATCAAACCAAAAACAAACTAGATATAAAAAGCTAAAGCATTGAAAGGTTTAAAATTACCTACTAAAAATAGAAAGATTTTAAAATAGAGTCATCAAAAGAAAGATAATATTTATAAACCAATCAATGCCAACTTTTTGTATATTAAGGTTTAGATAAAAACTTTATTATAACTGTCATTTTCAAAATGTACTTGTAACCCACAATATCAAAATGATTTTCATTACCTTATTTCTAATTAAGAACTACTACACTTGAGTCTTAATACCAATGCATATTAATTATTATTATTATTACGCATTGGTATTTAGACTTAAGTATTCTAGTTCTTAATACAATAAGCTGGACTTATGGTTTACCAATAGAATAGTGTTTCTTAGTTATAGCTGGATTCATGTCTCAAAATCATAGCACAAACAACAGGTGTGTATTTCAGACACCCTCTTAAGAAAGTAGGTAAAAAAGAGTCACATTTTATGCATAACATTTATTGAAAACTATACTCTTACCCTAAACTCAACAATAAAGTTTATTTTATTAAAAGCCATACCCTAACCTAACCCTTTAGGGTTTGCTTAGGATTTGGTTAGGGTATGGTTTTCAACAATATTCATTTTGTATAAGACTTTTTTACATACTTACTAAAGAGGGTGCCTAAAATACATATCTGCACAAACTACAAAAAGTCCACTTTCAATCAGACCACTTTCAATCTCTGATTCGATGTCTGCACAATATAATGTTATATAATATTATAATCTGCTTCTCTTTTATTGCTATATTTTTATTAGGTATATAAAAGTCTTATATTTTAGATAGATGTATAAAAGTAAATCCGAGTTCGATCCCCACCACGTCCCTGGTAGTACCGCCCTCAACTTGTTTCTCCACGCAGCCGCCTTGTTTGTCAGTGTTTGTGTTTCGGAGTTATAGAGTTGAGAGAGGGTTATAACCACTACTAAGTAGCCTCTTTGTCTGTAGTAGCCTTCTTGGCCTTGAGGTGGTGAATAACAAAAAAAAAAAATTAAATTTTGTCCTAAATATATCAAACTTCTTACTTAATTATTATTGTTCAATAAAGTTTTTTGTTTAAGTATTGTACTGCTTTACACTTTTTTTTTTTTTTTTTTTCAATTTCTCATTGTGTTTACTTAAATTGACCACATCTCAATTGGCCACTACTTTTTATTAAAAGGTTATTAAAACTAAAAAAAACAAACTACAATAACTAAAAAATAAAACTACGATATTCAAGCAACAGTTTAGGATTTAGTTCCTGACAATTTAATTTGCGGTTTCTTTTAACTTGTGGTTTCATTTAATTCGCCATTTCATTTAATTCACGATTCGTTTGCGAGGAAAAAAAAGAATTTCAATACAGATTAAAAGTAAAACATTTTTAGAATAAATTGCTTGCCAAATAAATAACTGTAAAATTAATTAATAGCCATAAGTCAAATAAATGTAAATTAAACTTAATAGCATTTTAGATAATGACTATTATTTTGTAACTATTTTTATGAAAAAAATAGTAAAAAGTAATACATTAGACAGTAAAAAGTAATATATTAGACAGTAAAAAGTAATACATTAGACAGTAAAAAGTAATACATTAGACAGTAAAAGAATAAAAATTAAATAAGTAAATTACCTGTTCTGAAGATACAAACAAAAGACTTGGCTACAAATAATTGGTTGAGTAGAATTATTATTTGTAATCTTCAACCATATTCCAATAGTAAAACTAAAAAAGTAAAATAAATCATATAAATATGATTACTTATAAATACAATTTTAAATACCTTTTTCTTTTAGCCATATTCTTTTAAATATGGTTTTGTAGAAACGACCAATCTTATGTCATATAAACAATATAAATTAAACAAACTTAAATTATCTAAACACAGAACAAAATAAATATTTTTTTGTACCTAGATGTAATTTGTAACTTGCTAAATGATGGTAAAACAACACAACTTTGATTAAAAAATAATGCTTTGTTCATTCTATAAGCAAAATAAAAATTTATATTTATAGTAACACAAAGTAGAGTTTAAAAGAATATTTTGTGTTTGCAAACAAATAGAGTTTCTAAGAATATATTGCAAAGCCTAATAACCAAAAAAAAAATGAAATAATAAAAAAAAAGAACAATTTAAAGAGACCATTTATTAAACAAATTACTAATGAAAAAGTAAATACATTAAACGAACCTTTCTAAGCATCTTACTTGAAGATTTGACCACACTGTATTCCATTGGCCATGTGTATAAACCCCTAACTTTCCTCCATTTATTGATGATTCCTCAATGTAACCCGAATCTGCCAATACAAGTGAACCTTGCTTGATTAGCAGCCTAGAAAATTAATTTAATAATTTTAGTAAAAAATAAACCAAATAAAGTTGATGCTAATACTAAAATATTTTGCTTTATTTGTATGCCTAGCTATGACAACCATAACAACTTGCCTTTAGTTAAAAATACATTTTTTCAAAAACTTGCTAGTCATTATTTAAACATATGCAACAAAGTTTTTTCATAAATTGTTCTATTTTACAAAAAAATATTTTTAAGAACACCTTATTTTTCCAAGAGAAGGTCTTAATTCTATTTTAAATATATATGATTGACGATGTTCCCAACCAACCATTTTAGGATCTTGCCATAAAACTGTAACACCCTTTAAAAAGAAAATTTAATTTTAAGTTTAACTTTCAATTTTTTTAACTTATGCACCTTTTAGTTAAAAAACTAAAGTTTACATCTGAGTCTCCTGAGTACCACAGAGCGTTAACAAATGCATCTGTTAAAGGACTGGTTCCAATTTTATTAACCTTCAAATAAAAAGATAATTCTAATAGTTTTAACTTGTAAATGCATAAATATAAAAAATTGAAAAAATAAAAAAAATTCCATAATTTAAAAAAATAGTTTTTTGTTATTCAAAAAAAACTGAAATTACTTAGTATTTCAAAAATTGAACATTACTGATCTGTCCTTAATATTAAAAAAACTGCATAGTTTAAAAAAAAACAACTTAAATTAGCGGATAAAAAAAACACTCAAAAAAGTATGAAAATTAAAAGAATTTCTATAAAACCTATTTAAAACTTTGCATATAAAAGGTTATATAAGTAAGAAAGGTTATAAAAGTAATTCAAAACATTGTATATTATATAAAAAATTAGAAAAATTATTTAAAACTTTGTATATAATATAAAAAGTTATAAAAGTAATTCAAAACATTGTATATAGTATAAAAAATTAGAAAAATTATTTAAAACTTTGTATATAATATAAAAAGTTAAAAAAAATAATTATAAAAAAATTATTTATATAAAAATTGATCAAAACTTTGTATATAGTACAAAAAGTAATAAAACTTATTCATAATTCTGCATATAATATAAAAAGATATATAAATAATCCTTTGGTATTATCTGAAAATGACATTAGCACTTCACAGGTGACAGTAAAGATGTAGACAATTGTAATCTGCTGAAAGAGTTTAACATTGATTTAAAAGTGAAAAAAGCTTGCTGTAATTTTTGGCTCATGCAAAATGATATATTCAAAAGGTTTGAAGGATTTTAATTGAATAGCAATCATTAAAAAATCTGCAATCAACCACAAATTAAGTTGAAAATTTCAAATACAATATACATACTTATATACATAACACTCATAACATCCAACAAACTTAATGCAACTATATTTCATCTCAATCACTTGAACTTTATTTTTTAAATATTATTTATAATATCTCACTAATTTAAAGAATTTTAACTCAAAATAAAAAAATACCTTTTTAATCTGTATTCCTTTAATTCCAGCTTTGTATGTTTCATTTTGAAAATTGATATTTTCATGACGCCACAATACTACAAGAAATCTATTTATACTTTGATAACCAACAACAAGTCCAAAATAATCAATCCCTTCATCGCTATTGACATGTAAGACTCCAGAAAACTCAACTTCGCTGTATCGTTGTTTACCTAAAAAATTTACAAGAAACTTTTAATATTGAATATATTTAGAAAAGTGATTTTATAAAACTGATCGTTATATATATATATATATATGTATATATATATATATATATATATATATATATATATATATATATATATATATATATATATATATATATACACCCTATCATCGAAAAAAAATATACAAGATAGTATATATATATATAAATTATATACTAGTTTTTACTGTAACTAAATTGCATATAAAACACTTTCAATATCTATTAAAATCTCTAAGTGCCATTGTATACATATGCAACAACATATGAGATTTTGTATTTTATTTTTAAATCAATACTTATATAACATGGACTACACAAGAAAAAATAAGTAAACAGTTGTGTGTTTAATACGACAAATACATTTCTTAATCTAAATCTCAAAACTGGACATCAAGTATATTATAACAATATTTGAATATTTTTGAAATAAGTGACATATTATAAGAACAAATTAGACGGTTGTAATCATAGAATAAAATAAATAGGATTAAATAGAACCATTGTTAATTACTTCTAATACTGTTAAAGTGTTGAAGCTAATGGTTTATAAATAGTAAATAAAAAAAAAGAAAAAAAAAAAGAAAGATAAAGGTAAAACAATAAGAAAAAATAAACCTTTAAAAACCTTTAAAGAAATAAAATCTTTACACAAATATATAAATTATAATAAGATTTTTTACCAATAAGTATTGAAGGTCTATATGTCTTTTGTAACTGCTCTATATCTCTTCCCTGTTTAAAATATAAACGGCAAATATAGTTACTAAAACTAAAGTCTATTTGTTAATACTTGCTTTCAAAATTGATGTTAATACACAAGCAACTAATAAGGTGGAATTGAATTGTTTCAATTCCACCTTATTAAATTAATTCCATTAAAAATGGTAAGCAATCCAGAAAAGTAACTTTCAAAATTTTAAAAGCTTTCAATAATTCTTAAATAGAAATCTAATTTTATTAAAAAGATTTTATTAAACCTTATTTCGAATTCTCCATTTAGGACGAGGTTCCGATGAGTCTTTTGGTGCAAGATCCACCAAATCATATGTTAAAAATGATGATTTTTGAATATTTACAGCATTTGGGCAATCATCAAACTGATCTAAAACTTTGTCTCCATCAAAATCTTTAAAACATGCATCACCAATAGGTTTAACTGAATAAAGTTTTAAAATTATCTTATGACAAGCAAACAAAAAATAATATTATTAAATTTACCATAACTGTGTATTAAATAAAATAGAATTAAAAAGAATAAAAATTAAAAGTGAAAATTGTAAAACAACAGTAACTATAGTAACTAGTAAACAATAGTAACTATTTCATACAGTTACATATATAATCATATGTAATACATTACATACAATCATACGTATACATAATACATTACATACAATCCATATTGTAGTGGTTACTGTGCTCCTGTAGTTCGTTCTTTACATAAATACAATTATCCAATTGATCCAAAACACTGTCGCCATCTTTATCTTCATCACAAAAATCTCCTAAGCAACAACGCAATAATTCCATATAATAACAATGCTTAAATAACCAACCAAAAACAACTATACAATATCATATTAATATTAAATACATTAACAAAGTTAATGTATTTAATATTAATGATTGTTATATATATATATATATATATATATATATATATATATATATATATATATATATATATATATATATATATATATATATATATATATATAATATATAAATATGTATATATATACATATATATATATATATATATATATATATATATACATATATATATATATACATATATATGTATATATATATACATATATATGTATATATATATATATATATATATATATATATATATATATATATATATATATATATATATATATATATATATATACATATATATGTATATTAGTATTATGTAATATGAAACACTTTTACCTATTCCATCTTGATCAGTATCTCCTTGGTCTGCATTAGGCAAATAAATACAGTTATCATAGTCATTGATTATGCTATCACCATCACTTAAATAAATCATCATCACTTAAATAAATCACCATCACTTAAATAAATCACCATCACTTAAATATATCATTGTCACATAAATAAGTCTATTTTATTTATAAATTAAAAGAAAATTTTTCATAAATTGAAAAAATATGTTTAAAAACAAAAACAATATTTAGCTGAACTCACAAATCTAAGTACGGTACATCACATTGATCTCCAAAACCATTTAAATCACTATCGATCTGTTAAAAAACAAAACAAAAACAAAAAAAAGCTACAAAGAATCTGTTAGAAAAAAAAAAAAAAATTAGAGTTATCAAAAACCTGAACCATTTATTAATAAATCTTATCTATAAGTTCTACTTGCTAATTATTTAGTAAAGTAATTAGTAAAGACAACCTAAAAACAAGTGGAAAAAAACTTGAAAATCTGATTTAACGCATGATGGTTATACATGATGTTAACACATCATAATTTTTTTCTTCAAGAAATTTTATTTTAAAGTTTACCTTTCCTGTTTAAAAAAAAAGACAAAAAAACTTACTTGATCTGGATTTCTGTGCTTATAACAATTGTCACATAAATCACCTACACCATCTTTATCACTATCGGATTGATTAATGCTGTTAATATTTTTGCAGTTATCCATACTGTTAATAATACCTACAACCAGACAAATTTAACATTATCAAATTTATTTTGTTTTGTTCTAACATCTTTGATTTAATGTTATACTTCTGTATTCATTTAACATTATGACAAATTAACACTTTAGTATTATTTTATTTTAATATAATAGATAAAAAGCATCATTTCAACTGAGAGTTAATACAGACAGTATATACGTATGAAAAACATTTTTCAAACTAATTAATTGCTGACATTTTTTTTTCATAATCTTCTTTTTATATTTTTTTGAAAAGTGTTTGGATTTTTTAAAATTAAATTTCACAGAAAGTAAAAGCACACAATGATGTATCAGAAATCATAACAATCTAATCAATCAATCAAATGCAAGCTAACAATAAATTCTGACAATAGAATCTAACAACTAACACTACAAGTTAGCAATATAAATAAATAACAAATAGTGCTAATAACATAAAAAAAATATTAGCAAAAATAAATAAGTTAGTGGGAACAAATCTTTGAATATATGAACATATAATTTAAAAAAAATTTGAGTATGAATTTTGTTGTTCTAAAATTGCAATGAAAAATATTCAAATTAAAAAGTGTCTAATATTAATAACATACCATCACCATCAATATCATCATCACATGCATCACCTATTTTATCATTATCAGTATCAGTCTGATCTTCATTTTTAATACTAGGACAATTATCACAAACATCTCCTATTCCATCTCCGTCACTATCACTCTGATTTCTGATGTTATTATAAAATTGACAGTTATCCTGTTTATTAAAAATAGTTGCAAATTATAATTCATGTAAAATTATCTTGACTGTATACACTAATTATAACTAGTTATGTATCTTATTTAAATAATTAGCAAAAATATTTAAATAAATATTTAAAATATAAACTAAAGCAATTGTACAAACTATATTAAAAAAAATAGCAAAAAAATATTATACTTTATTAATAAAATAGTTATTAAAAAATATAAAATTAAAATATTTTAATTAGATTTTCAAACATGTAATTATAAATACATTTATGTCTTTAATATTATCATTGTCGTCATCATCATCACAAACATCTCCTAATGTATCTGAATCAATATCTTCTTGTCCTCCATTAGGTGTATATTCACAATTATCCTGTAATCACAAAAAAATTAGGTAATTTAAAAAATATTACTTATAATATTAATATTAAATGATTTAATTATAACAAAGCACGATCAAATAAAAATATTGTTTTTCCGAATAAATTATAATTTATAATTATAAATTATAAAATAAAAATTATATTTAATAATTATAAAAATAAAATAAATTAATAAAAATATAGTAATTTGCTTTTTGTAGTTATTTTATTATTTTTCAAAATTAAAAACAAATAATTAGTAATCTAATTAAATAAAAGTTTTTTAATAAATAAACAGATAATTCATTTTTAAATTTTTTTATTATTAAATTTACTGCAAAACTTCACTTTAAACTTACTGCAAGGTAAGAAGAATCTGCTCTTTTTTTTTTTTATTAAAATTTTTTTTTAACTTTTTAATCTAGTCTGAAACACAAACCACTTTTAATAAGATTACTGCACACAGAGACACAGTTTGTGCGCGGTACATCCAGAGACGTAGAGTGGATTTGAAGTTCTTAACTGTAAACTAAAAGTTCTACTACTAGTCTACCACTTAGTAAGAGTATTAATTTGAAATTTTATATATTATAAAAAATTAAAACTTATATATGTATTCTGTAACTATTTTGCACGCTTTTTTTAGATGCATAAAAGTTATGTATCTAAATAATATATATAAAACTTTTACTAAAATAATTGAATGTTATAATGAATGTTAAAATTTCATTTTGAATATTTTCATTAATTGAAAACATACTTAAAATAATATGTTAATGCATTTAAAAAAAAATTAAAAAATAGAAAAACAGCAAAAAAATAACAACAAAAAAAGTTGAAAAGCAGCTTTTTTCTGCTTTATAAACTAATTAAACATCGGCCTTTAATCAATAATTTGATTTAAAACAAAACAAAACTTTTTTTTTTTAATTATTTCAAAAATTATTTTTTTTAAAAGGAAATTTTTCTTTAAAACTACAATAACATATAATTTAGTTAAATCAAATGAAAAATACTAATAAACAAAGAAACAAATCTACATACACACTATTTTTTAACAAAAATAAGTTTTTTAAAGTATAAAACTAACATTATAAAATGACAAAATTTTCCTAAAAAAATTTCCTACTTCCTTGCAAGCAAATGAGGTACACGCTGCACCATATGTAGTAACACCATCATAATCATGATCTACATCACAAACAATACCATCTCCCGCAAAACCATCATTACACTAAATGTTGGTAATAAGAATGATTAAATTTTGTTTTTATCTTACTTTAAACAATAAAATTTGACAAAGTATTTTTTTCCATATAAATTTAATCAAAGCAGTATAGATCCTAATCGAATGTTATATGAATGTGTAATGATGCATAAGATGGGGAAAAAACTTATTTTTTTTTCCACATCTTATGCATCGAAATGACCCTGCTGATGCCCCGGTTGCTATGGACCTGTATATATATATATATATATATATATATATATATCTATATATATATATATATATATATATATATATATATATATATATATATATATATATATATATATATATATATATATCTATATATATATATATATATATATATATATATATATATATATATATATATATCATATATATATATATATATATATATATATATATATATATATATATATATATATATATATATATATATATATATATATATATATATATATATATATTATATATATACATATGTAATATATTCATATATATTACAAGGTAATTATTCTAAATTTAAAACATTGTATAAATACTCTGAACGAAAGTATTTACAATAAACTAAAAACTTGAACAAAAGTATATAAAAATCTTTACTTAATGGGGCTGAGAACTATTACCTTGCAGTAAAAGAGCTTGGATCCAAGTGGTATGCATGTGCCATTTACAAGATTGCAGTTATTGGTTTTGTTAGAAGCACAATAATTTCCTGGCTTGCAGCCAATATATCCGTTCCCAACAAATCCTGGATTACATTTTCCACAAAAATAGCTGCCCTAAAATATATTTTTATCATAAATCATACAAATTTTAAAAATCACATAAATAATAAACGTATAGTATATAAAAGATATAAACAATAATAAATATAGAAGCACATAATGCATAAATAAGTACCAAATATGTGAATGTAAACTTTAAACTTAATTTTTTTATTACAGTTCAATTACACTTATTCTTTTTTTTTAATTTTTATAAAAAATAATTATTACATTTAATTTTAATTCTTGTTTAGTTTAAATTTAATGTAGTTATTTTGTTCCATAAATATTTGGCTCATAAGTATTAAATGAGCATCAAAAAGAAAGGCAAACGACTTTAGGCCAGATGTAAAAACAAATCAAGGGAACTGCTAGTTTCAGCTTCTGCATATATATAATGAACAAAAATCTAGGCCAACTTCAGGACTATTCTGAGGATCTGCACAATCTAGGTTACAGTCTTCATCTAGTTGGCGCATGCCTCGTACTACTATCAAGAGTTGTTATGCAAATAATAACAAAAAATTTAGAATCTGAAACTTATCTTGCTGTCAGTATCTAAAATTGATATCGCAAAGAAATTAAAAGCAGTTGTAAGTGCTTTTAAAAGTGAAAATCTACTACTGATTTTTTTATGCCATTTAATATCCTACAAAAAAATATAAAAATAAAGAATGAAGAACAGATCTTTTATGATCATCAAATGGCTAATAAAAAGAGCTTTGTATCAACCTTCAAAACAGTTGTAGAGCATCCTGCTAACAAACAGTTGGTAAAAGGTCAGAAAAGCGGGTAAAATGTTGTAAGTCATAATCAGGTTAAACTTAAGGCAGATTTGTCTATTCAATCATTCTTTATCTTACAATTTGATGGGAAAGCTGTAGCACCATATGATTAGGGTATTAAGAATATGTAGTGTACAGTTATTACCATTCAGTCAGAGGGACTAATATTTTGGTGCATTGGCCTCAGAAAACTCAATACTAGAGAAACCTACAAAATTCTAGCAGCTATGATAAAGAAAACATTGTTAGAGTATGATGTTCCTGTCAATATAAGCTAGTATATTTATATTATTTATTTTTAAATGCATATGATTTAATGAATGACTAAACTTTATTTCAGGTATATCTTATAATAGTTCTGGTTGAATAATAGGGATTTAAGCTTTTTAACAGACCTTATTTTTTATTCTGGGTGCAATGAACACATTTTGGACCTCATTTTAGCAACACAATTTAAAAAACCTAAAGGAAACTATATCAAGCTGTATTAAAGCCCAAGAAACTTTGACCAGACATTTTCTACTGGTCAAAGTCCCATTCAAAAATCGCCATAGAACAAATAAAGTAGCTGATTCAATATTTACTTCAACATTTTTAAAAACTTGATAAAAAGTTTATATATAAATATACTTTATGGATAAGTCAAAAAAAAAAGTAATAACAGAAAATCCAAGTGTTTAAAAATCAGTTTTTTTTTTTTAAGAATATTTAAGTACAAGTAATTGTGTGTGTGTGTGTGTGTGTGTTTATATATATATATATATATATATATATATATATATATATATATATATATATATATATATATATATATATATATATATATATATATATATATATATACATAGAATTTTTTCAGCAGCGAGCGTTTTGAATACAAAGAAAATTAATCACTACCATAAAATGTTATACTTGATGGTAGTGAAAGTACATCTCTGATTTGGTAAGATGGTGATTCTGATGATAAAACTAGCTATTCCTTTGGGTCGCAAAGCACTTTATCATTGGTAAAATTAGTTATATTTTAATTCCCCCATAACCAGGGAATGTTTTTTTCAAAAAGTCTATGGATTAGCTCCACCACTATTTCTTTGCGTTTGACAAGTCTATGATAATATTTAGTCATTCCAAGAAAAAGGGTAATAGAGTAATGTGTTTAATAGTTAAGAAACATTATTCTATAATTTTATCCTTCTTTATTCTATATTTCTTTGTTAATTTGATACACAGATATTTCCAAACATTTTTTTTACGCTAAATTCAGCCTTAAATTTTTCTTGAATTACTAAATTCTTTTGGTATTTCTAATAATGCCTATTGTATGGGTTATACTTTGCAAAAACTTTGGTTTTGCACTTAATACTTTTGATTGCTACTGTGTCTTTTACTGTTCCTAGCGCATTTTGGAAGACTGCTAAATGTTTTTTAATTTTTGTCATTGGTGTTTTAAAACATAATTTGATAAATTTAGATTTGAGTAAAATAGCCATTGTCAATTAACTTTTGTTTTTCTTAGTCAATCTTTTTAGTCAAATTATACTTAATAAATTAGTATGTCAATTTTAAAATTTAAAACTAAACCTTTCCATTTGGTGCAACTACATTTTAAGTAAATGTCAGCAAAAAGATGAATGCATTTTTTAAATAAATCCTTTCTTTTATTAACTTATACATTTTATGATTTACTGACACCCCGGTGTAAGTTGTTTTTTCAAATTTTAATCTTTTAAAATTAACTTTTTATTATCATGGAAATACTTAACATGTCAACATATAGTCACTGTTGTTTACTTATTATTATTATTTTAATAATAATTATGTATTTTTTTTATAACAGACTGTGCTCTGTTTACTATACCAAGATGTTATAACTGATTTTAAAAAGTATCTTTATAATAGAAGTAGTAATATCTTTTACATTATTCATAAACTAATAGCTAATATAAAATAATTTTATTCTTAGTACAATTTACAAAGAACTTGTACTGTTTTTTAATACTCTTTACTAAAAGCTTTTAAAAAAAATTATAAAAAAAGTAGGGTGAATAACATAGACCTAACATAATCCATTACTCTTATGACTATATAAATTTATATAAGATAATTTTTGCAATATATTTTTAATATTAACATACTAATGTGTTAGTGCATATAGAGTTTTCATCACATATATTGGTACCAAGAGCACATTCATCAATATCATTGCATATTTGTTTATTATTTTCAGCATGTTCTAAGCCAACTCCAGCTGATGTTGTACCATTGTATCCTGGTGGACAACCTGTACATCTGTAACCAGGCACCATGTTAACACATTTGGTGTAGTTTGAACAAGGGTTTATAATGCACTGTAAAAAAAAAAAAAGATAATCTCTACGCTCCAAGTTTGTTATTTAAGTGTAAAACTATAATCAGGCAATAAAACTAAAACTAAAAAAAAGTAAAAAATAAACTCAAAAATTTTGCTTAAGTTATTTGCTTGCAATAAAAAAAATATATTAAAAAAAAATATATAAATATTTTGAAATAAACTTCTAATTATAATTATTATTCAGCCATGTGTGATTGTGTTTTGTAATTACTTACCTCATTTATATCAATGCATCCATTTTTATCATCTTTATCAAAACCTTTAGGGCACAAACCACAATAAAAATCTGGGAAACCTTCCTCATTTACAAAATTATGACAGCTTACACCTTCAAAACATGGATTACTTTCACATGCACCTGTTTTTTATTGCAAAAAAACTTATATAAAATATAACAATTTCATAAGTAATTAAAAATACAAATGCATAAAGATAAAGGTTTTACAGGAAGTTTTTTAATTTTTGTATAATAAATTTAATTAAACAAATTTAATTAAATAAATTTAATTAAATAAAGTTATCTTATATAAAGTAACCTACGTAAGGGAAGTATAAAAAGTTACTTTGTTTCCCAAATAGAATGCTGTAGGACTTCCCTATTGATCTTTCGCTATATATTATTTTTACAGGAGGACTTCCCTTTTGCTCTTTTGCTACATATTATTTTTAGCACTTTGTTGTATACTATTCAACTCATTCTTTTTTTCTTTTCTCATGAAGATAAATGTGCTTCTAGTGCAAGTTATTGATTGAGAGACTGTTAACTAGTTTGAGTTAATATACAGTTATACAGCCATCAAATATTTTTTTCTTGTGTCAAGTTTACAATTAAAATTTTTAATTGAACTAAAATTTTAATTAAAATAATAAAAATATTATAAAAAACGCGTTTTTCTTTTACTTGTAAATTAATTAAAAAAGATTTCTAAAACAATTTAACTTTGTTTTTGAAAACTCTTTCTTTTGTATTGAACCTTTCATATTAAGTTCCAATTTAATAAATAAAGATATTAGTTTAAAACTTATCATGAATAAATTTTACTTTAAAATTTACTTCTTTATTTTGTTTTAATGCATTAACTTCATTATTATTGTAAATTATTGTTGCTTCCTTTTTTAAAAAACTCAACTTTGACCAAACCAAATACCACCCAATAATAAAAAATTACTAAACCAACATCTACAGCTGTATTAACAATTATATAACTAACATCAACTATTTCTATCTAATGAAAATTGTTTTACTCAATGACTAGTTTAATGATCATTGTAAAATCATTCAAAATTTAGTAATTAAAAAAAATGCTTTTAATGTTTCAGTAAATGAGTATAAAACTCTTACCACAAATTAAGATAATATAAATAACAAATTAATATAAATATATATCAACAAAATATAAGGATAAATCAAAAAATTAAGAAATTAAAAATTAAGTAAATATAAAACTTTTAAAAATTAGATTTCATACAACTAAATATAGATTAACAGTGTTATATTCATTTTTTACTTACATGAACCGAGGAGTCGACACGATGAGCAAATAGAACAGTTCCCTGTTGAATACTCATGAGGTTGGCAACCTTGACAGCCTTGTTTCATACTTGTACTTTCTTTTCCTCTGCCACAACATTGACATTGGTCAGCGCCACTGATATTTGTGAACTGACCTGGTGGACACAGCTGGCAAAACCCTAATTGAAAATTAGATTTACAAAAACAAAATATTTTTCATCCTTTATAAAATCTAAATTTCCACTTGCAAAGTAGTTTCGATCTGATAAATCACATATTAACAACAAATTACAAACAAACACATCTTTAGAATACTTGCTTTCCCCTCTAAAAGTGTTATACACAATTAAGATGTTAGTAAAAAAGTTACCTTTGCCATTACTAAATGTTCCTGGTTTGCATATTTCTTTGACTCCTTCAAAGCAATAAAAACCTGGTGGGCATTCTAAGCATTCAGTTGGGCACCACTAAAAATGTTAATTTCAGCTTAAGTTTTAGTTAATTTAATAACTTCACTAAAATATTTAAATTGAAAAAAGTTAAAATAAAATTAAAAATATGGCAAAATAAATTTTACACACTGTTGTATTGCACTCCACATATGTATTTTCAGGACATTTTGTAATTATTCCATTATGACAGAGCTAAAAATATTTAAAAATATATGCATAATTTAAAATAATGATGATGACAATATATATAAATATGTAAGTATATATATACACACTACTGTTCATAATTATATGAATGGCATTAACTTATTTTAAAAATGCTATCTTTTATTTAACTATTTTTTATGTTTATTTTTGCACAATTAGATAACTTAAAAGTATTTTCGTTAAAATGCTTTGATAAAAATCATAGAAATAATAAAAATGCTAAAGAGGCCAAAACTACATGAAAAATGGACAATCAAAGACTGTAAACGCAGACCAATGTGTCGAAGTTTTAAATCTTTGGTTTCAAAATAATATTGTTTATCTGGAAAAAAAAATTGTTGAATTTATGATGAAATAATGTGTATTATTGACTGAAAAATGTGGTGGTTGTAGTATTAAGGTGTTTTGGTTAGAATGCCACAGGTGATTTTGTATAATAGATAGAGGGAGTAATGACAAAAGTAGTTTATTGTTCATTTAAAAAACTATGCTACACCTTTGGAAAGATGGGTTAATAAGAAGCTATTCATTTTTTCAAAAGAAAATGACTTGAAGCTTAAATCTAAAACAAAAACTTGTTTTTCAAAAACTTGTTTATGTTGTTTGACTGAATTAGAGAACAATGAAATATTAAATAAAATGGTTCCCAATCACAAGATCTCTCTCCTATTGCATTTTTATGAGTGGAATTAAAAGTAATGTCAAAAACTAATGCCAAATGATGAATAAGATGTGCATAAAACTTATTAGTTAGTGGGATAAAATTGACTTTGACAAACTAGATAATACATTAAGTAGAATGCCAAGAATATGTGTGGCAGTTATTGTTGCTAAGAATGATTAAAAGGCAAGTAAATTATAAATTAATCTAATAAAATTAATATAAAATTATAAATTAATCTAATTATAAATTAATCTAATACTTTTATTAATTTCTTTATAAACCTAATAAAAGAAGATATAACATATAGTTTTATCTTCCAATAGTAAGTAAAACAATAATATTTTATTTAGAAAAGTGCGACCACTTGAATAATTATGGATTGTAGTGCATAAATATATATATATATATATATATATATATATATAATATATATATATATATATATATATATATATATATATATATGTACATATATATATATATATATATACACATTGCGTTCAACTGGTTTCTCTGTGCAGCAGTTTTGCTCATCATTAGCCGCTTTGCTTGTGTTTTGGAGTTCTCTCAAAAAGATTTGAGAGAACTCCAAAACACAAAACGCTCTCTCAAAAAACATTTGAGATATTGTAGTGGCCCTCTCGACCTTGGGGAGGTGAATAATAATAATAAAAAAAAGTCAGGCATTAATATGTCATATATGTATATATATATATATATATATATATATATATATATATATATATATATATATATATATATATATATATATATATATATAATAATAATAGTCAATAAGTAGTAATACTTAATTATGTTAAATAATTATACATAAAAAGTTATTAACATTATACATAAAAAATTATACATAAAAAGTTATGGTAACATAATTTATGTAAAACCAACTTGTTTCTCTGTGCGCCTACTTGTTTGTCAAGATTTGTATTTTAGTATTATAAAGTTGAAAGAAGGTTGTAATGACAATTAAAGTAACCTCCTCAGTTGCAGTTGTCTTCTTGGCCTTTGGAAGTTAAATTAATTTAAACAATAAGTGAAAAAAAAAAAAAAAATTTATTTAAAATTTATTACAATTACAATATACAAATTTAAATACACAATATATATATATATATATATATATATATATATATATATATATATATATATATATATATATATATATATATGTATATATATATATTGTGTATTTAATTAGTGGTGCTATTTTATTTTTCGCAACTGTATATTATATATATATATACAGTTGCGAAAAATAAAATAGCACCACTAAGGCTATTTTCCTTTTTGTTAAGAAAACACAATGCAAATCAAAATTTTTTTATAGCTTTGCTGTTTAAAATATTAGCTAACACGTTTTTTTTTTAAACAAATCATTATGGGAAAAAAACTACTTGGTGTTGCTTGATTTTTTAATCAAAAATGCCTATTCTGACCGAAAAATAAAATAGCACCACACACTCTTTGTAAAGTACACTGATAACGGTAAAAATAATTGTAAAAATAGCAAGCGTTGGGTTTTTATTTTGATATTTTATTCGTTTTATGTTAATGCGTATTAGTAGAAGACATTTACAAAAAAAAATCGGATGCAGAAAGCATTGTAGTGCAGAAAAACGAAAACTGATCCGAAAATTGATATCAGCAGGGAAATCCTATATAGAAGTTGGTCATGTGGTTGAGTGTTCCCATAAAATGATAAGAAATGCCATAAAATTTTAAGCCTGAAATGGTCGAAAATGTTCTATTTCAACATTGCTGACCAATCGCTTAGTCCGAAAGGCTAAATAAGGAACCTTTTAAAACAGCTACCGAGCTGAAAAAGGAATTTAACATCAATGCAACAGTGCAAACAGTTTAGAGTTACCAGCGAGTTAATGAAATAAAAGCCGGTAGCCCCAGAAAAATTCCACTTCTAAGTGCCAGACATGTTTTAAAGCGTATTGCGTTTGCTAAAAAACACTCAAATTGACCACTCAAAAAATGGAGGAATATTTTATGGACAGACGAAAGTAAGATTGTGCTTTATGGTAGAAAAGGCTCTTGAGCGTATGTCAGAAGACCGCCGAATGCAGAATACAATCCAAAATATATCATCAAAACTATTAAACATGGAGGTTGTAGTATAATGATATGGGCATGCTTTTCTTATTAAACAGTAAGGCTCATTCATCACATTACTACTATTATGGACCAACACCTTTATGTTGATATATTGGATAAAGTGATGTTGCCGTATGCAGACAATGAAATGCTATTGTCCTGGGGGTTACAATAGGAAAATGAGCCAAAGTACAGTAGCAAGAAAACGAAGAACTGGTTTGAGAACCATTAAATGAACGTTATGGAGTGGCCAGCACAGTGGCCAGATCTTAACCCAATTCAATCAAGAATTTGTAGGCTGACGTAAAGGAGGTGGTTGCTGCTGCCAAACCAACCACTAAGGAGTCACTGTGGAATGTAGTTAAAGGAAACATGGAGCAAAATTCCGCTAAAACGATGTCAGGACTTGGTTAGCTCGATCCCAAGACGTTGTGTAGCCATCATTGCCAATAAAGGTCACGCTATAAAATACTAGTATATTAAGAAATAACTAATATTTATTGTAAAATGTTTAAAACAATTGATCTCATAATATTTCCTTATTTTAAAGTACACATTAAAGCTGTAGTGCTATTATTTTTTTTGCGTTTTATTTGATTTGTTTTGAATTTTTGTTTAATAAATGAGTACTAAATATTAAAACTTTTATATTTTGTTTTTTATAAAAATTATAAGCCATTTAACTTTTAAATATGTATTTAAAAGTTTTTCAAACTATCAAAAATAGTTAAAAATTCTAATTTCAACCAATTTGTGGTAGTGGTGATATATATATATATATATATATATATATATATATATATATATATATATATATATATATATATATATATATATATATATATGATATATATATATATATATATATATATATATATATATATATATATATATATATATATATATATATATATATATATATATATATATATATATATATATAATCACTATACTTCTATAAATAAAATTCTATAAATAAAATATGATTACTAAGCTCTATATTTGAAATATTGAAATGGAATTTTCAATTTCCAATGGAATTTTCAGATGGAAAAGTGTGTTACTACAAATTAGTGTGGGATCAATTCGAGTCTTGAAAAATCAATAAGAAATGAGGCAGTCAGGTAGCATGAAATTCTGTGGTGCATCTTAGTGGTGATGATAACTTAATTGCCACGCTAGAGCTACTCGCTAAGCACATGACTGTTGACTGTTGTGGTCCTCTTGGGGAGATGAATTCAGAAAAAAAAGTTCAATTCTTCTAGCGTTTGGTAATCAAAAAATTTAAAACAATTAAATATGTAAGGTGCTCAACTTGTAAAAAATAAGAAAGCTTTAGTTTGGATGACACTATTTTACTAATGTTTTTTTTTTGAAATAATAAAAGCAAACCTCTAGTTCTTCTAATTCTACTAGATTCAAAACTGTCTAGTCCTAAGATTGACAAATGTTCTTCATATGATTTATGATTAAAACCTGTGTCAAATTTTTTGCCTCTTTATTAAACTTTCTCAAGTTTTATTGTTTCATTTTGATATGAATTAATAAAAATTTTGATTTACCACTGCAAGCTTTTATGATCCAAACAAATTTCATTGTTTAATTTTGCGCTATAAATATTTGTATATTTTTCTAGTTTAATAAGACCATCTTTTTAGAGTTTCTCAATTTTTGCAGTCCATTCAGATAATTAAATATTACAATTAATAAAATAAAAAATAAAATTGCAAAAAAAAAAAAAAAGAAAAAAGAATATCAACTCATAAATTTATATAACTAATATTTCTTTATAAAAAAAGAAAATTAAAAAATTAAAAAGAGAATCAGAATAGAGATACATAATTAACATTTTTTTTTGAAACTCAAAATCTTACATGGCCTTTTGGACATAAAGAGCATTCTGAAGCATAACCATAAGAAAAGAAATGTTTTGTTTCTTCATTTTGAACACATGGTTTTTCGCTTCCATCACCAGGACAAAAGTAACCCGCAGTACACTCATAACACTTTTCAATTCCTAAATTAAAAGTTTTAACATTAAACATTAAAACACAAAATTAACAAAATTAAAAATTAACAAATTTTTTATTATTAGTTTTATTTCAAAAATTCCAATTTAGTTTCACAATTTCATTTAAATATTAAGTGTCCCACCATATCTTTTTTTCTCTTTGTTATATATTGTCATATTTGGTGCTATAAAACGAACATAACCAGTAGTTTCATTCACTGTTACTTTACCAGTTTTGTCACAACTGGGATCATAACTTAAAAAAATACGGAAAAAGTCCCCTCGACGTGGATCACCATTATCAACAGCAAATATATCTACAGAAATGCGCCATTTTATAGTTGTATTCACCCAAACTGTATTGTTTTCTACAAGAAACTCTTTTGCTTCAATTGTTGGTCTGAGATAAAATAGAATTAAAAATTCAAGTTAATAAATAGTTTAGCAAAATAAAATTATAGAAAAAGAAGTTTATTCAAAAACAAACTAAATAGTTTTTATAAGACTCAAAAAAATGGTTTTTGTAAAACACTAAAAAACAACAGCTAAGATACATTTTCTCCCGTATCTCACTAACAACAAAAGTGATTCTCCCATTTTCGCCACTATCCAAATCTGAAGCTTCTACCATAAACAATGAAAGAAAAGGATTTAGAGGAGGTATTGGATTATACTCCACCAGTTCATATTTTGGAAAAATGATAGGGCAATTATCACTTTGATCAACCACAAAGATCTAAAACAAAAAGCATTATTCTTTATTAGTTACATAAATGGATATATATTAAATCTAATAATAGAGTTAAAATCTATTTTTTAATTCAGTCTACCAATGTCTTACACCTTAATGTTTTAATGTGCTTCAATATATATATATATATATATATATATATATATATAATATATATATATATATATATATATATTTATATAGATATACATATATATATATATATATATATATATATATATATATATATATATATATATATATATATATATATATATATATATATATATATATATATATATATATATATATATATATATATATACACTACAGTTCATAATTATTCTAAAGGTATTACCTTTTTTTTAAAATGCTATTTTTTTATTTAACTATTTTTTATGTTTATTTTTGTACAATTAGATAGTTTAAAAGTATTTTGGTTAAAATGCTTTGATAAAAATTATAAGAATAATAAAAATGCTAAAGTGGGCAAAACTACATAAAATAATGGACCATCAATGACTGTAAATATCGAAGTTTTAAACCTTTGGTTTCAAGATAATATTGATTATTTGGAGTAAAAAATTGTTGAATTTATGATAAAATAGTGTATATTATTGACTGTAAAACATGGTGGATGTAGTGTAAAGGTGTGGGACTGATTTGGTTAGAATGCCACAGGTGACTTTGTAAAAATAGGAGGAGTAATGACAATATTAGTTTACTTGTACACTTAAAAAACTATGCTACACCTTCAGAAAGATGGGTTAATGAGAATTTATTAATTTTTTCAAAAGATAATGACTTAAAGCTTAAATCTAAAATGTATTTTTCAAAAACTTGTTTAAGTTATTCAACTGAATTCAAGAACGGTCATATTAATTAAAATGATTTAACCTCCCCAATCACAAGATCTCTCTCTATCGGATTTTTATGGGAAGAAATAATGTCAAAAACTAATGCCTAATGATGCATAAGATGTGGAAAAAACTTATTAGCTAGTGGAATAAAATTTGACAAATTGGAAGTCATTAAGTAGAATGTTAAGAATATGTACGGTGATTATTGTTGCCAAGAGTGATTATAAATTATTTTAATGAGACATACTAACTTTTTTGCAAACTTAATAAAAAGGAAGATAACATATAATTCAGGTAGACTTTGCTTACAGTTTCTCTCCCAATAGTAACTATAACTGTGATATCTTGTTTTAAAAAGTACGACCATTCGAATAATTATGGATAGTAGAGTATATATATATATATATATATACATATATACACAATATTAGTATCTCAATCTTACTTTAACTGTAACATTTCCTTTTCTTCCCTTTTTATCTTGTATAGATAACAATAAAGTGTATTCCTTTGTAGTCTCATAGTCTAGATTTCTGTAAATGGTCAATAACACTGACCGCTCTAAAATATTTGTCATTTGTTTTTGATCAATATTGTTAACTAAAGGTGTTGTGCTAGAAGAGTTAGATGTTCCATTAACTTGAGTTACATTTGGACAAATAATTATAGATTCACCATGAAGAGTAACATTGGGATAAATTCTTGGAGGGGGTTTAGACTGAGCATCAATGTTTGCCTGTGTGTTGTTTTTTTTGAATATAAACTTGCCTTCCTCATTGCCTGATACTATAGAAATTTGGTAAGGATAACCTAGAAAGTATTATCTTTTACATTAAACAAATCTAAAATAGAAAAAGTAACTCTTAAAATCCTTTTACTAAATATTTTAAAACAACTTTTATATTGTTATAGATTTTATATTATGATTTAATATATCCATAATGTGTATATGTATATATAAAACTTAAGTTTCTGTTATACATGTAAAGTTAGGTAAATAAAATAAATATTATAAATCAGACAAATTAAGTACATATATAATGCTTTGAATGTTGAAAAAAAATATTTCTTTTTTAATTTAAAATCTTAACAAAAAATAAATTTAATTGATTCAATAAAAATTGTTAGTATAAAAATAAACAAACATAAAAAACAACAAAAACCTGATGAATCATAATCATCTGAAACTAAGACATCTGCAATAATACTGTTAACCTGATCATCTTCTTTAGGGAAGGCTAAGTAATCAATAACATCAGATTTTGCTTTAAATGTAGCACCACTGTAATAAAAGAAAAATTGTGATTTACATGAAAATCGCTCAACATGAAACACTTCAAAACTGTATATAACACCAATTTGAAGATTTAGATAAACTGATTCGCTTTTCAATACTGTTAAGTTTGTACAAGTTTTTGAAAGTTTATCTACTTTTCCTTCACTAGGTACAATGTATCCTCCACCTAAAAAAAGTTTTGTTTAAAACAATCTTAGAACAATCCACCAGCAAAAAAATTTGTTTTTTTAACGATTAGTTCTGTCAAAACATAAGCATTTTACACACATAATACCTTTATGTGTACTTTAATTAAAAACTTTTAATTAAAAGCAATTACAAAACATCTTCTTGACAAAACTAATTATAAGCTAATCATGTTTTAAACATAATTAATAAGAATAAAATGTATTTTTTTACAATTTCGAAAATTTTTATGAATTAATTGCTAACCTTAACTATTAGAGGTCGGTATCAGGTTGGCAAAAAAAAATTTTACACAAAGGGGTTATCATAAAACATAGAAACGAGGTTGGCATTTTTTTTGTTAACTTCAAAAGCATTTAGGTCAGCAGTTAGGTTGGCGTTGACAAATGCTGACTTTTTGAAATTGTAAAAACTACATTTTATTCTTATTAATTATGTTTAAAACAGGTTTGGCTTGGTTATGTTTAAAACAGGTTTGGAACACTGTGACATATATGCTATTATACATGTATAATCTTATAAATTGTAAAAGAATATTAAATTTTTATAAAATTACTTGTAAGATTTTTAAGTTCAAAAGTTTTGCACTTGACATCATATGGATTTTTTGAAATATCTGCATTATCTGCTAATACACTTAAAACCAAAACTTTGTTTATGTAAACCCAAAGATCTTCTCCTCCACCAAACTGAAACTGCTCACCTTCAGAGTACAATAAGCCAATTCTTATAGCACTGGTAAAGCTATAAAATAATGATATATATATATATATATATATATATATATATATATATATATATATATATATATATATATATATATATATATATATATATATATCAACCCATGGAATTAAGAAAATAAAGGAGGTCAGCAATTTATTGCCAACCTCATTTTTCTTATTTCTGAGAATTATGTATATACAGTATATACATTTATATATACAGTATATATACAATAGCCTGCAAAAGTAACTGGACAAGAGCATAACTTGAGATAATTTTTCAATAAAAAGTCAAATTTTTTTCAAATTTTAACAGAAAAAAAATTGCAAATCTAAAAACAAATGAATTTTTACTAAATTTAAGCAATCTAACCTTAAAAGTTCATTCAATAAAAATATGCAGTATCCGGACCAAAAAAAAACTTGAATTAAATTTTTTTTTTTAAATAATTTTTAAATTAAAATGCTTTATTTTAAAGTAAATTGCTTTAGTACTTTGTCAAGAAGCCCTTAACATAAATTACTGCTTGACAGTGACAAGACATTGAGTCCACCAGCTTCATAATAACAATAATTTTGATTTTCCCCCATTCTTATTTGAGAGTATTCAACAAATCATGTTTACTTGCTGTTTTTTGACCTGAAATTTGTCTATAAATGAGCTTACATAGACATTCAATAAAATTAAGCTCAGAACTTTGCTATGGATATTTGATTAATTGAATTTCTTTAGTTTTGAAAAAGTTTTTCACAAGAGTTGAAGTATACTTTGAGCCATTGTCCGGCTAAAACATCCTTCCTTGAGGCATTTTGTCTTTAGCATGTGGTAGCATAACATCCTTAACTATATCTTTGTACATATTTTTGTTCATTTTGTCAATCAAATACATAGAACCAATACAATGTCTAATCAAGTTAGCCCAGCTCATAATGTTTTGAGCTCTATGCTTCACTGTTAGTAGCTGGTATTTAAGATAATTTTTATGGCCTTTTGCTTGATGGACATATCTAATATTATCAGATCCAAATAAATTAAACTTAAATTCATCACTAAAAAGTACTTTCAATCACTGTTCTCATTTCAAATCCCATTTCAAATGTTCATTAGCAAATCTTAAGCTTACTTTTTAATTCTTTGTATAAATAAAAAGTCTCCTTGTAGGACGTTTTCCAAATAGATTTCCAGACCTCAAAAGACATTTAATTTTGTCAACACTACATTTATGCGGTAGTGGTGTAGTGGTAGAGCGCTTGCTTCATAAACGAGTGGTTCCGAGTTTGATCCCCACCACATTCCTGGTAGTACCGCGCTCAACTCGTTTCTCTGCGCAGCAGCCTTGTTCGTCAAGGTTCGTGTTTTGGAGTTATAGAGTTGAGAGAGGATTATAACCACAAATAAGTAGCCTCCTTGTCTGTAGTGGCCTTCTCGGCCTTGAGGAGGTGAATTAAAATAAAAAAAAAAAAAAAAAATTTTACATTACAAAGTTCTTTAATTTCAGCACTTAACAAGACAGCAACTTGCGTAGATCATTTTTTCATGGCTCGAAGATGGATATTTCAGCAGAATAATGACCCAAAAGACACTTCAACTCTTGTAAAAGACTTTTTTAAAAACAAAAAATTCAATTAATGGAATGGCCATACCAAAGTCCTGACCGTCATTCTATTGAATATTTATGGGAACACATAGATTGACAAATTTCAGGTTGAAAACTAACAAGTAAAGTTGATTTATTGAATAATCTGTAACAAGAATGGGGGAAAATCAAAATTATTGTGATTATGAAGCTAGTGACTCAATGCCTTGTCTCTGTCAAGCAGTAATTAATGTTAAGGGCTTCCTGACAAAGTACTAAAGCAATTTACTTTAAAATAAAGCATTTTCAATTTTAAAAATATTTAAAAAAAAATCTAACTCAAGTTTTTTTTTCTGTCTGGATACTTTTGCTTTTTTTTAATTAAATGAACTTTTAAGATTAGATTGCTTAGATTTAGTAAAAATTCATTTGTTTTTAGATTTGTAATTTTTTTGACATTTCAGTGAAAATTTGAAAGAAATTTGACTTTTCATTGAAAAATTATCTCAAGTTATATATGCATATATATAAATGTATATATACATATATATACATACATATATATACAAAAAATAAATTAATATAAATAATAATATATTTTTGTAAAATAAAAAGTAAAATAGAGAAAAAGATAAATATTTGTAATGTTTAGCAATTTTTTAAATTAATGATATAAATATATATTATTATATAAAAAAATTAATTGTAAAAAAAAAAATCACCCTTTGTTTACAAGTTCTTTGCCATAACAATCTTTTTGTCCCTGAGCAGAAAATCCTCGATCATTTACAGGCCAATAGTTGTCATCCCAAAATAGATAAAAGTTTTTTCCTGTTTCTTTATCAATACTAGTTATTTCAGATAACAATGTGATTTTTCCAAATATTTTTCTACTTCCTTCGTATGCCGAAGTAAACCAGTTTTGTATAGCTATACTTTCTTTTGAATCTCTATTTTTTAACCAACTTTCAAAAGGACTGTTCACATAAGTGGGACAGCAAGTATTTTTTTCATAACTTGGTGCACTGAAAGCAGGCTCAGTTTTCCTGAAAATTACCAAAATTTAAAATATCAATGAAAAAAAATTCTTTTTACACTTTTGTATTTAGTTATATTATTTTAAATCATATTATTTTGTATACTTATTATTATTTTTGTATTTAGTTATATTATTTTAAATCATATTATTTTGTATACTTATTATTATAGTTGTTACTATTTAAAATATATTGTTTTGTATTTATATAATTGTTCTACAGTGAATATTTTTGTAACTGTATTTTTATTATATATTATGTAAATATATTATAATTTAATAGTGGTAGCGCAATGAGCTTTCTAAAATAACTAAAATGAAATCACAGAGAAAAAAATATAATATAAAAAAAGTAAACTTTACTTACGAGAAATCATAGTAAATAACGTCTATTTCCTTTGTTCCAACAACAGTTGTATCTAAAAAAAAATTATAGCTTAAAGTTAAAAAAATAATAAAATATAAAAAACCAAAATAAATATAAAAACTAATTATTTAGTTGTTTTAGATAAAGTTAAACTTAAAAAATAAAAGAAGCAAATATATATTAAATAAAAAATGCAAAATAAGTTTAAAGCATACATATATATTAGGGGTAAGAATTTTTAAAAACTTAATAAGCATGTCATATTATGATTGGCTTTTGTGCATAATTAATAGAAATTTATTTATATAAACATGTTTTTAAAAATATATATTGTGTTAAACCATAAGAATGATGAGCTAGGAATCAAGGCTAAAAAAATTTAATAAATTGGAACATAGGTTCCAATTCATTAAATTTTATGAATTTTTTCTTATTGCAGTCACTCAATATTTTTAAAGCTCCTGAACACTAAAGACCAGGAAAACATACAAATATCAAAGTGGAGTCTTTTTGGCACACCGCATTCTAGTGGTGTGCCAAAAATCAAGTTATATTTAAATAAGTAGTAAACACATATCATTTAAGTAAACCCACAATCAAGTCAATAAAACAACAAAATTCTTAAAAAACTATATTGATAAAACTACATTAACTAAAAAGATTTACATTTAATTTACATTTATTAATAAATGTTTTAAATACAAAGTTTCCTCAGAATTGTTGAATTTTTGCAATTTGTATGCAATAAATGTTACACAAAAATTTCATGAATATCTATGGATAATATTTAATACCTTCATTTTTTTATCATTCTCAGGGTTAAACATTTAATTTAATAACCAGGTACCCATTTTCCAGCAAAATCTTAACTATCTTCTATTTAATTTATAATTAGTTATTAAAGATTTATAATCAATGCTATTGTCACCTACTGGTTCACTAATTTCATGTTTCTCATGATGTTTTGTCAGAATTGAAACTGGTAAACTATTTCTAATTTAATTTTCTTCAATGAATTGAGATTACCAGGCTATTGTAGCACACCACACTCTTACAGATGTCTCTAATCGCAACCAAAGTCCATTCTTATTTGTTACATTTAACAAACCACCAAATTTGTACCTGGTTTTTTGATTTCTATTTGTCTCTTTTTAACCAATTTTACTGTTATCCTTGACGCTGATCTTTACTCTATTGTTGAAAAATTCAATGAAGTACATAAAAAGAAGAAAAGATGGGGATTAGGACTTAGAGGAGACTTTTAGGGGCAAAAATAAGTAGAAAGAAACTGATTGTTGAACATAATAAATAATAATCACTTAACAAATGTCTAATATTAATTATAACTTTTCAAAAATTATTTTTTACAAAACAGTATGACTAAAAAACAATAACTTTTAAAAAAAATGTAAAATATACTTCTGCTTCTTTTTTTTTAATTCTCTTCTTTTGAGAAATATTTTTATTTAAATTTATTTGTTGTATAAATCTTTGGCATCTGATTTGATCGTAACTTAGTGCAGTTTTTTTTTGAATAAAAATATTTCTTTGTAAAAATAAAATTTTTATGAAAATTGTTATTCTATGAAATTTCTACTTTTTAACTTACAAACAATCACTAATTCAAAAGAGTCTCTTCCCCTGATTAAATAAGCTTTTATGCATAACTTTCAAATTTTTTTTATTTTTGCAGTGCAAAAAAATCATTACATAGATATACACTTTATTTATACTATACAATCAAGTATAAATAGTAAATATAATATACATCGAAAACAAAAACATTCCCTAAAAAACTAAAACATTCTATAAAAAAGTAACCTACTGCATTTTTCACACTGAGTGTAGCATTTAAAACAACAACCATCAAGAGTACAGGTTCTAGTTTCAAGAGCATTGGAAGCAGAAACATCACAACCATCTACTTGACATTTATCTTTAAAGATCTTTAATCTATCACACTCATACTTTTCACCTTTTGAGCACAATGAAGCTTTACCTAGAATTTATTCAAAAACTCTGAATAATTGTATAATTAACAAATTAATTAAAGTAATAACTATTTTATTAACTACATTATTATCAACAGCACATCTGAAGTTCATATAAATGTGAACATAGTTTTAAGAAAAACACAAATTTTTTCTAATTTAATTCAAATTTAAATTAATCTTGAAATGTTTTGTAGTTTACATCTTCAAAAGATAAAACTAAAAATTAAAACTCTGGAATATAAAATTAAAATTTGAAGACATTACAGAGAAATATTAACAGCCAAATAAAATTGTTACAAACCAATAAACATTATAATACAACTTTTGATGTCATAAATAGTATGTAAATAATAAGTAAATAAAACAAACTAGATTGACAAATGGAGTGCTTCTTTAATTTTCAATTTGTTTTTGTTATGAGCAGTATCCAAAATTTTAAAACAATTATAATTACTTGGATTTTTACAATAAAATTACAAAATTAAATATTTGTAAACATTAGATTATTTGTCACTTGTAAGGTGCTCATGAATCCTTGCTATTAAGTGTCTGGAGGTTTTTTCAATATAATTGGCATTAGATCCAGCACAAGAAAATTTTTAAACGACATTGGATTAGAGAAGTGGATCTTTTATACAAAAAAAAAAAAACATTGTTTTTGTTGATAATGAAAATAAATTAATTATAACATCTTTACAATATTTTTTAATGATTTTGTTGATTTTAGAATTTTAGTAAAATTTGAGTAAAATTTTATAAATGAAAGTTTATAGTATAATATAATAGGGTTATTATTAGTATTTATAACAGATAGATTTAACTTTTTATTAACAAATAATTTAGCTTTTTTTTTTAAACATCTTCGCTTCCAACAAAATTGCAAGCAACCACTAATTAGTGTTGGAAGTTACTGGAAGAGAAAAGATGAAGATTGTAGAGCAAGATAACGATTGACAGACGACTTAAAAGATTGCAAATTACATGAATCAGGAAAGCAATATGAAGGAAACAAGTTCCAAAGAACTGATGTTTGAGGAAAAAAACTAAATGAATAAGAGTTTTTGGGCACTTAGAAACAGTCACAGAAAAAGGATGAGACTTAATTGATTGATGAGTAACACGAGAGGGAATTTTAGTAAACAACACAGGAGATACTAGCTCTTTAGAGCAGTGCCCATTATAGTATTTGTAGAAAGAGAAAGAGAAGCAATACTAAAACGATGTGACAAAGGTTGAAGGTTGGCTGCAAGAGCAGGTCCAACTATGTTTACAATGCGTTTTTGCACCTTGTCTAAAAGAGAAAGAGCATCATTAGAAGATCCGTTTCAGATATGGCAACAGTATTCCATACAAGGCTGGATTTGGGATTTATAGAGATGGAGAATAGAATCCAGAGTAGAAAGTGTTGAACTCGATAAAGAGATGCAACTTTAGCAGATGCTAATTTTGCAACAGATTTGATATAAGGTTTCCAAGAAAGACCAGAAGTAAGAGTTAATCCTTGAAGATGAAGGGTAGATGACTCATCAAGCACATTACCGTTCATAAATATAGGAAGGTCTAAATTATTGCGATAATGATTAGCTGAAAAAATTTGAGTCTTATCTGAATTAAAGTTCACCAGCCACTGTGAGCCCCATGCTGTAGCAGAGGCGAGATCCTTTTCAAGCTCAAATGCCCCGTGCAAGCAATCAGAGGAAGTTGGCTTCTTATCGTGACAAGAACAAATGGTAGTATCATCAGCAAACAATGCCATCTTAGATGTGAGAATATCTGGAAGATCGTTAATGTAAATTAAAAAGAGTATAGGGCCAACGATTGAACCTTGAGGAACCCCTGAGGTTACAGAATAAGAAGAAAAGTGCTGTCCATCAAGGACAACTTTTAAATTACGATTGGAAAGGAAGGATTCAATAATCTTAAAGATGTTTCCAGATACACCATAAGAAAAAAACTTATGGAGAAGAACAGCATGCCAAACTTTATCAAACGTTTTAGAAATGTCAAGAGCGATGGCCTTAACCTCTCCACTTTTATCTAATGCGCGAAAAAACCTATCGGTTAACTATTAAAAGCACTATTTTAAAGGAGTTACTTTTTTAGAAATTAATTAAAATATTAGTTAGGGCTTTCAATGATTTCTAATCAAGTTGAATGAAAACTGCTACTAGAGTATTAATTACTACCTGTAATAAATATTTATTAACTGCAATAAATTTAATAATATCTATTTAACAACTACAATAAATTAAAGTGGTCAAATTTCTAAAATCGTTAATTTTCAACAAATATTATTATTCAGATGAAATATAAAATTGCCTTAGAACAAAAAAAAAAAATTTCAAATTTGGACCCTAGTTTTGTGTCACAAACCATAAAAAAGCCAGGAGATTCATTGATAGGTATTGAGATAATAGTAGTTCCTATGAAAGCTCAAATTTTCAGTGTTTACTTATATTATAACAAGATACTCATTGAAGCAAAATCATCAACTTAGCTTAAAGTATGAAGATGCTATAGCATAAACAACTAATTATCCAAAATTTATCCCAAAATAGCTCACTTTAGAAAACCATAACTCTGCTCAAGAATAAAATCAAAAATATTTATTGCTTAAATGAGTTTATCATATATATTACAACAATTGTACAAAATTTCAAAGCACCACAACCAGTAGTTATTTAAGTTATTTATTGCAGCATGCTAAAAATAGCATTCTGAGAAAAAAAACAATTTAAGATAATTAAAATTGAAAAAAGTAAGTTAAAATATTAAAACAAACTTTTATTTCATTTCTAAAGATTTGTTATCACTCCTCAATGTAAGAACAATAGTCTAATTTTATAAAAGCAGCAGTCTAAACTTATAAAAGTTTTTTATAAGCTTTATTTAACTGTTTAAGTTTCATACAGAAATTAATATTCCTGTTTAGCAAAACTGAAAAATTTTTAAATTATAAATAAATATTCTATAAAATGTAAAAATTCTGGTAACCCTATTTTAAATTTCAATAAAAATATCAATTGGAAGATTGAATTAAACTAATATCACTAAAAACATCCAGCATCATCTCATATTATTATTTAATCTCATTTTATTTATCTTGATCAATTTAACATTTCATTTTGCGCTAATTTGTTTCCAATGTTGGTTTAATTTATCACTTGATCTTTTGCTATATTTTGAATTTTTTATCTTTTTGATTACAAAACGTACCAAGATTATTAGTTCTAATTAAATATTTATTAACCACTTTATCTTTTAAACGCCATTTTTGAATTTTTATTAACCACTTTATCTTTTAAACACCATTTTTGAATTTTTGCAATTAAAGAAATATTATTGTTTTGAGTTTTTTCAAGGCACTTTTCTAACATGTTTTTATCAGATAGATCAATAAATATTAGCTTGATTTTTATCAGATAGATCAATAAATATTAGATTGAATTACAACAGGCTGTCTTGGTTTTCTATTCATATATTTTTCAATAATATTGTCTGCTTAAAATTTACACTAGGTATTAATAGTTCCACATCAGATTGAATATCTTAATTCTGAAAATGATGCCTCAAATTCACAAAACCACAGCTTTTGTAATGTCCTTTTCCGATTTGATGCAATGCAATTACTAAATATAGATTTATATCAAAAATCATTAGAATTTTTATTTGAAACTTTTTTACTGGTTTAGAACTTCATATTCCATAAACACTCAGTGCAATTAAATAACAACAGAGAACTTAAATTTTTTTTATTTTCTATCTACAGTGGTGGCCAAAAGTCTTGGAACAAAACATTTAATTACCAAAAAAATTTATTTTTGATCTAAAGTATAAATTTTGAAGGTTTGATGATTTTATTTTTACATAGCAATATGTTTATAGTTACATATTTGTATATTGCGCAATTTATTATCGTTTTTTATTATTCATAAGCAATTAATCAGCTATATTATGCCAGAACTTTCACCTAAAAAAAGAGGAATTATTGCTGCATTATATGAACAAGGTTTAGTTCAAAGAGAAATATCTGAAAAGCTTGGTTGTTCATTATCAACTGTACGTAGAACTTTAAAAAGGCATAAAGAAGAACCCCAATTAAATTTTACTTCAAAGATGAGATCAGGCAGGCCCAGAGCAACCACCTCAAGAACTGACAAACTTATTGGCCGGATCAGCCATGCAAATCCACGGCTATCTGCACACGAGATTTCAAAAGAAATTTTTATTGAGAAAAAAGTAAGTGATCGAACAGTTAGAAGAAGGCTTTTGGTTGATTTCAAAATGAAGGCATGCAAGCCAGCAAAAAAACCTTTTTTATCATTAAAAAACCTAGAAGATTGAAAAACATTTTGTCAGCGCTACAAAAATTAGACTGGAGAAAATTGGTCTAAAGTTCTTTTTTTCGATGAAACATGTATTAAACAATTTAATGTTACAAACAACTTTGTAAGAAGACCAAAAAACTGTAGATATATGCCAAAATATACAGTTAGCAGTGTCAAGGCTCCTTTGTCTTGTATGGTTTGGGGTGCTATTTCTGCCAAAGGACGTGGGCCATTATGGATAATGCCCAAGAATACCACAATAAACAGCAAAGTCTATTTGGATGTTATGAAGGAGAAGTTGCCACCTTTCATTCAGATCTTGAACTGCACTTATTTCCAACACGATGGTGCACCATGCCACACAGCTAAAATTGTAAAGAAGTGGTTTGCTGATGAAGGAATTCAAACCCTTGAAAATTGGCCTGGGTCATCACCAGATCTTAATGTTATGTTGAAAATTGTTGGCATTTTATGAAAGTAAAAGTTGCTGCCAAAAAGCCTAGATCCTATAATGATTTAGTTGAAGTAATCAAATCAGTGTGGATCCATGAAATTACACCGGACTATTGTACAAAACTTGTTAACAGCGTGCCAAAACGTATCCAAATGGTAATTGACAATAACTATGCTTCCATTAAATATTGAATTTTTATCATGTATGTGTACCTATCATCTTTAAAATTGTTATAAACACTTATTTTATTAAAAAAAAATTAAAAAATTTACTAATAAATTGTTTTTCAAACAAAAATATTGATTTCATAACATAAAATATGATGTTCCAGGACTTTTGGCCACCACTGTATATTCATGTTAATAGACTTCATCTCACAGTTAGGGCATGCTCAAACAAAGGCAAGATATTGTATAATAAAATCAACATCAATTAAAAGATTATTGTGAGGTTGTGGAATAGCTTCATCATTGACAAAAAGATAGTTGATTGAGATTGTAAATTTAGGCACGAATTCATATTTCAAAAAAAACTAGCATTCTTGATTTTCATCGTCCTTTTTTTAAAAAATTCGAGAAACACAAGATATTCTTCTCCTCAAAACATCAGTTTTTATATTGTGCAATATATTGTGCAATATATAATGATATATTGTGCAATTAGAATGATATATTTATTTTATTCTTCACTAAAAAAAAAGAATAATAAAGAATTAAACTCGGGTTATATTTACCATTAACAACTAAAAAGGATAAGATTAACTTTCAATCTACACATAAAAAGAAATTGCATAACATTTTAGCACAGTAAAGTGGTTTGGTTATATAATTTTTATGGCAAAAAAAGCCAAACTATCACTCAGTATTTTTTAAAACCTTATTTTGGAAAATGATTGCTCAAGCAATTCAATAAGAATCAATATATGCTGTATATCAATTGCTATGCCTTTGCTAAGAAGCAATTCACTTTAGAACATCATTTTAAATAAAAAATCAAAGCATTTAAATAGTGAAGTCGTAGTCGTAAAAAGAACTATAACCTGTAGATTAAAC